GGCACCGAGAACAATGGGGGGTCGAACATGGTACTTGGGATGAAAGCATGATATTTCGAAAGCAAGGTCCGGTCATTATATTCATTGCATATTCTACATTTCATATTTACATTACATTCACGCAATGACGGTTTCGATTGGGAATTGACTGGTCTTAAGCAGCAAACAGAAAGTCTTCTGTTTCACTTTTCAGGCCAGCCGACTTCATTCAGGGTTGTTCTCCCTCTCAACACACTGCGCATAAACTCGAATCAGTGGACGTTCAGGTAGCCTCTCTTTGAAAAGAAGTCTGGGCCGATTTGATATAACACTTCGCTTGGTTGACACTCTTTGCTGTACCGTCAATCAGTACAGAATCATCAACAAAATCAACACTGACATTAAGATTAAGTGGTTTTCAATGATTAATGTTGTCATTTGCAGAAAGGACCAGTGAAGATCCGGGGTAGATTAGGTCTTCACTAACCCATGCTTGCCGAAAAAGGCGACTATGCTTGTCGTAAGAGGCCGCTCACAGGATCGGGTGGTCAGACTCGCTGACTTGGTTGATGCATGTCATCGTATCCCAATTGCGTGGATCAATGCCAATGATACCAATCTCTGGATTACCTAGTCCAGACAAACAAGCAAACATATGCAGAATTTCAAAAACTGAAAAGGAGGAAACAGAATTGAAAGAAACCCATTCCGTCCAGCCTGCTGTCAGTTTGGCTGCCCTTCATGAAACTGCATTTGTTTCCACTGACAAGGGCTGAGTACCATAATAGTACCATATTTGTAAGCATCACAACGTCAATTGTTTGGTATATCAAATAATGCCACATTCATCTGTAAAACGCCAATACATTAATTGAGGCAGACATCTGCCAAAATCACACATCAATATTATTACTTTGTGGCTTGAAGATATGTCAAAACATCACACGGATATTTGACCAAGATGTTTTAATTGATGAATAGGCTTCAAGTATATCGATATTCAGATATTCAATAATGGTCAAAGAGCCAATTCGGACCAGTGAAATGGACCATTGAAACCACCTCATCTGTGTCCTATTCAGTGCTGTACATAAAGATTAAGTGTGATAATAAAGTATGCACACTACTGTAGGAACAGAGGGATGACTACAAGATCAAAATTGTCACATTTTCCTTTCTTTCGAGCAGCGATTCAGCAGTTTCAATTTTAGTGTCTACATTTTTAAGGTGCAATCAAGCAAGCTCTTTTTACGAAGATTCCTCAAAATAATTCGCAGCCGTCAAGGTCGAAGTGAAACTTTCAAATATATGTATGGTAGACATTTACGGGATATTTCCAAATTTGACGAATCAGTGACATAATTGATGTCTGATCTCCCTATTTTACATAAACCATAATAGTGTTTTCGTGTTATTTAGTAGCATATGTTTCTACAGCGTCTTATGAAATAGAATCTTACAATTGGATCTTTTAGCAGAGATTTCCTAAAGTTAACATGGACAATATTTAGACACTGCGCCAAACACTGAACACAAGAAGATAATGTAATATAATGCTGTCCTCAATAAATTGAAATCTCATTTTCCTGCATCGGTTCATTAAAGACATTAATATGTTTTGCAATGTTTTACCAATTTGCTGACCATGTTATCACAGCTGTAACGCATTGCGTCAACACTACCAAATTAATGAGGAAAGTATTGCAGGATATTTCCAAAGTCCATGAGCAATATCATTGTCAACAACAAATCCTGCCCGCAGGTTGAAAATCAATATACAAGAATAACAGACCTTTGGATTATCACAAGAAATATGCACAATACGAAATCTTTGTAAGCTTATTATTTTGATAAAATGAGAGTGAGAGAGAAAGAGAGAGAGAGAGAGAAATTCAAACACCATAGAACAGCATCGGTTCAATTATTGAAGTGTGCATTTTTGTGAAAATGTTCAGGTGAAATCACCTGAACTACCTGACTAAGAATACAATGCTGTCAGTGATCTGCTTTCTGTGTCACACAATTCGTTTACTGATTTCTTCAAGTCCATGTGCTCATTCAACCAGTACCGTAAGAATCAATAACAGTCACTATTATACAACACAGTTTGGCGACAAACGTCACTTTCGTCATTGTTGATGAAACCGTTCTGAAGTGAATAACCTTGTTTTTGATTTTGCTAACTGATAATCTCCATTGTTGACACCATCTGTACATCAGATCCATAACGCTCAACAAACAGGTTAATCAGGTGCAGCTAGGGCTATGTCGAAGATGCCATGGATTCAGGGATTTTATGCCACAATTCAAGTCGTATTCCATCAGCCAGATCATTGATGTAGACTGAGAATATGAGAATAAGATTGGCGACATTTACATCCCTGGGTCACCCTGAGTGATATGAGGAAATGATCTGTATTGATGCCATTAAAAAAAATCTAAAAATTGTTTTTATTTTTTTAATCAGTCATATACACAGGATACAGATGCAGTCGAATAACAGTACAAATTCACGTATAAGGGTAATTCGCAAAAGTATGTGGTACAGAGGAGGCATAATCCACAGCATGGTACAGATGAAGGCATATTTATGTATACAATTAAGAAGGTGCGGTATTTATGGTACATCAAATTATGTTGCAAGCATGAAGTGAATAAGTTATTTTACTGTTTGAGTAAACAAAGCCCATTTTCTGTTAAAGGCAGAGAAGTAATTATTTCTATTCAACGTCATAGATGCTTCTTATTGTGTTCTTAAAAGCAACAAAGTCAACATTTTCATTCTTAATACACTGGACAAAGATAAATCTTTTAGCAGCTACAATCAAATGGTTAATTAATACATCAGAGGTACCAAAAAGGAGCTCGTTGTCAGTTATATGAATAATTCTATGCAAAATATGAGTCAAGTAAATACAGAAATCTGACCAAAAATTCTTAATAACATGACATTCGATATAAACATGAAAAACATTTTCTTTGTGAGTATGACACAGAACACTCATCGTTATCAATAAAGTTCATTCTTAATAACTCACGTTTAGTAAATATTACAATTCACAACACATCTGCATAAAGACTCTGAATAGAATCTATTTTTTTAGTAGTTCAATTACATAAACTTTAAACCATAGACAAATTGTACTGACGGTGTTGAAAGCTTTTTGCATGTCTACAACACATATGTAATGTCGTGTTTGGATGTCTTGTTAAATGTCTATACTTGTAACTTATGGTCATTAAAACATCAGATGTTTACACTGCAGGACACTGCTTCTCAAGTTCAATGAAAAAATGAATTGGATTACTTTAAACCCATACCTGAACAGATAGCCAGGTCAAGTTAATATGTTAATAACTGCAGGATACTTAATCAAAACAGTACTTGCCTTATTCTCCTTATTCATATTTACTTTATTAAATGTCGGGCGCACAACTAAAATGAAAATAATTAGTGATGTGTCTTATAGTGTTTGTTAAAATTGTTGGATGAGTCTTTTGATGTATAAATTTGTAATTTAATTTGGGAATGGGATCGAGCTCGAGGCGTTTTTCGACCGATCAGATCGGCTTTATTATAGTTATTGGGCCGATTGAGATGTAATCTACTTACAATGTGGGCAAATGAAGTCAGGCAAAACGTACGACACTGTCCGTTGTCTAAAAAATGCTAGGCTGCGCCTTTATCTTGCTCCCAAACATATATGTAATAGTTTGAACGCTTATACGATCATACACATCAGGATTGCGGAGAAATGTACAAGAATCGTTCTCGTTATGTACCAAGGCACCTATTCATCTATTCATCTGTTTTTGTCTCTTCATGCTTCAAATATCCACAGTTGAGCCACACCACCAACCTCAAAGACATAAAAAAAAATCAAGAAGCCATTGACATCAAAAGACTCCAACCGTCAATCAACCATGACCAAGGCAATTACATACCCATGGCGTACCATCAACACATCAAAGACCTCAATCAGTCATAATCACTTTGTTTATATTACTTTTGTCCTTTGATGCAGAGTTAACCTCAATACCATCCATTTGATCATCAGTAATTATTGCGTCTTGATCGAGGTGTTTGTTTACTGCCGGCCTTTCATATTATCCATGTGGATCTGGAACTTTGCCTTCTTGGGATTGGTGTGTTAAGTGTACTCATTTCTGCGTAATGTGACCTGTGCCTGCATAAAACATTACTTGCTATGGGACTGCCTCATAAACAAGGTGTGTCTTACACGAAACAGTTATTGATTTGTTTATATTTACAAGGACAACTGTTCATTCTGGAACCGCCTCCGCGGTGGAGTGAATAGATAGCCTGCTCGGAGAGCGGAAGGTCGGTGGTTCGATGTTCTGGTATAGCTAAAGACGTTAAAAAGATACGTGTTGTTACGCAACTGTTACGCGACATTGAGGGTATAAAACAAAGACTGGTCTCTTTCGAATCAGTATACGTTTTAGTCCGAGTGGCTTATCCACATTAAACTGCGGCATGATAAACTTTAAAACTTGCATGAGTTCTGAGCAGTTTTCTTACATCTAACATTGCATTTAGCAGAGATTTCTTATGATTACATGAAGTGTATTGTTGCTTTTATTAGTGTATCAATGGCATTGTAAGACAGTATACTACTGTGTAAAACATGTCCAGTACGTGTGATGGTTGCTCAGCCTTTATACGCATTATAAAAAGTATAAAATATGATTGTGTACAATGCGCCATTCAGAATGATCTTAGTCCTTTGTGACAGGTATGTCGCTTTCAGTTTGTTTTTGTCACAATATGGCTGAGATACTGCCGTTGTGACGTTAAATATTAACTCACTCACTCACACCAGTTTAGTTTTCTGCAAAGTGATGCCAAGGTATTGATAAGAATCAACATTATCTGTGATATTATTACAACTTGTGAAGGATCACACACCGTTTTAGTCCCGCTGAATATATTTTTTTTTGTCTTCGACGAATTGATTTGAAGCTTATGTAGATATGACATAAACTTAACATATTTCGGAACGTGGGACAACAGAGCCGTATTGTCGGCATAAAGCAGTGCGAAAGCAGCTATCAAGTTTTCGAGACGGTCATTGTAATCACAAGGGTGCAGTTTTACACAACTGTAAGCCTCCCCGTGAAGAGTTCTCTCAAGAATCTCACACCAAATTTACACACAAGAAACACATGATTCTATATTCTTGTACATGTTAAATATGACCTTGAAGCATTTCCCAGTTACACCAATTTAAAGTATACTCCTTAATGATTGCTGAGGAATTTTCCGAATAAGAAAATAATATTCCCAATGACAAATAACAAAACAGTGCAGTTAAATGTTTATTTGAAAGGAAATGACTGGGATGTGTTGACGAAAATGACAAAGCAACACGTAATCGACCGGTAAGTTGAGACTGCCATAAAAAAGTAAACATGACACCAACCAACAAATCTTAAATTCACAGAACTGGTCATTGAGCATTACACAACAACTGTCAATAGAGTATGTGAGCCACAAGATGGGATTGCACCCTTGAACCGTTGTCTCATGCTTCCAAACAGCGTCTGGATGGATGCCAAGGGAAGATTGTTCCCTCTTGGGTGAGAGCAGGTACGAGTTCTTGGAGGTAACCTGGATACACGAATTACGTTAGATTGACACCTGAAGCATGTTCCAAAGGTGTTCAGTCGGGTTGAGGTCTGGTGAACAAGCTGGCCACTCCACACGGACAAATGTCTCTTGTTCAAGGTAAGCATCAACCACTCTGGTACGATGAGGACATGCCATGTCGTCCATGAGGATGAAGTCAGGGCCAACTGCACCAGCATAAGTACGCATCCAAGATATCATCCCTGTATCGCACACCTCATCGTGCCCCTCAATAAAACACATGCAGATCTGTTATCCCAGCCCGGTTGACTCCACCCCAAAGCCTTAATGAGCCACCTTCCCATCTGTCATGTTCGGCTACGTTAGCATCATGAAATCGCTCTCCTGCTTTACGCTACACCCGAGCACGTCGTTCAGTGAAGTCTAAACAGTACCGTGACTCGTCTGTGAAAAGTAAGGATGTCCAATCACTGATTGTCCTCTTGACTTGATCTCTCGCCCAATCCAAAAGTGCTTTCCTGAGACGCGGGGTAATGCATGCTCTTCCTGAATGCATGATCTGCAGCCTCCCGCAGGCGACTAAGGACTGTCTGATTTCAAATGTTTACTCCAGTGGCGCAATTCATTTCTGAGCCTGGTTGCCGTCACAAGCTGAGAGCAAGAGAAACCGGTCATCTCGCTGTATGGTGGAACGTTCACGACCACCTCAATGTCGCTGGGTAGCTGATATCGATTCCATGCCCTGCAGACCACGCTTTGACTCACATTAAGGACGTCAGCAACGTGACGTTGTGTTGCCCCAGTTCCAAGCATCCCCACGCATCTGGCTAATTCCCCGACTCTCACACGACGTCGTTGACGTTGAGGGGGCATTTCTAGATCTGTTTTCAGTAATTGCAATAAATGCTTGCCAGGCTTTCAAACAACAGAGGGCAAGGTTTTAATGACAAACAGTCACAACGGTGGCAGAGGGGCCAACCGTTCGTTGTGTGCCGGGTTTTATTCCAAGATGACTTTATATCAAAATTCCATGTTGCATTAAAGATATGATCCTTAGCAAACTTTCAGTAGTATAGTTTTAACAGAGACCAGACCCCTAACGGTGTTGAAAGTTTCTTGAAAGTCAATAAATGAACTATGGTATTTCTTTTTTCATATTTTCAATAATTCAGAAAGATTAATATAGTAATAATCTGATCGGTGGTTGGGTATTCTTTTCTGTTCTGAAACCTACATGAGCTTTGGATAGAAACTTATTTGTTTCAATATTATTGCTCAAACGGTTGTTTATTATATGTGAAAAAAAATTCAAAATAAACTCAGCAATGTCATATGTCTGTGATTTCCAGGATCTTTTTATCGATTATTTGTTTGCTGTTGGTTTAATTACACCATTGAGCCATTTTTGTGGGAAAATACCAGCGTCATGCACTTTGTGTCACATATATATTTTCAAACATATTAATAGTGCATGCAAATATACTCATTGATTACATTATTAATTCTTGGCGCTTTGTTTTAACACACGATATGATTCTGTCCCTTGTGACGGAATTTAGTACTCTGCTGCTCTCGGGTATCATATTATCAGTAATAATACCATTATCACTAGCTACATGTACGTACTCTGCAAAATTGCCAGAGCGAGAGTTTCTATCACCAATTATGAATATTATCTGGTATATTTTGATAATATTTTTTTTTATATTCTGAACTAATTTTAGCGAAGGTTTCATCAGTGGACTACGTACATCCTTCGGGCTGTGTATATGAGACACCAATATATGCATGGTCCCTACCTTCTTGACACTGGAGATTAAATACATTCTTTGATGTTTCAAACATGAGAATTCGAGTTAACTCTACGAAAATGTGTCTTAATATTCCTTCTAATGGCCAAACAAGTATTCAGCTAGAGTTTCTGTTTGTGTATGTACTTTTGTTCTAGACAATACACTTCAAACCTAGGGATATCGACAAAATTAAAATAATCTTATTTTGTTATATCGCCTACCATTTAGAAACAGTTTGTCCACATTTATATTTGTTTTCCGCCCCGCCTTCTTGTTTCCTTAAATATGGGAAGTCAATATTTCCGTCGTTGCAAACTTTCTCTAGGAAGTGTTCCCTGATTCGAAACCGTTTAAAACGTTCATTACATGCTTGTGTATATCTGTAGAAATGACAGGAATCCCAAGCGAAATAACTCAATGGTTAGGACAGGTGATCCATGAGTCAATGTATCATCATTTGCGCTACCCCAACAAAACACGTCTATTTAACTCAACACCCAAGCTAGGATTTAGGTTGAACCTGAAGGCCGTACAACGTACCGAGAAATAACTTGCTACGGAAATTTCAGGTAGCAGTAGGAGTCGTACTATTGCAATGCTGCTACATCAGAAGTAACAATGCAATCAAATACATGTACATTTCTCATTTTCATTTTGTAGGATCAAAGGCTTAGGGATCGATCATTTATTATTCTGGTAGAGGTGTATGAAGGGGCCTGAGCCTAGAATGTTTTTGAAAAAATTCATTGCTGAAAGTCAACAAATTCAAACAATTGTATTTACCTACAACTCATTATTTTTCATAACAGACAGCCTGTCCAGTGAAAAAAATATTTTAGGGGAAAAACTAAAAACGAATTATTTTTCGAGCATTTTCGGGAACAGATTAATATTTTAAAACAGAAATGTGTTGCCATATCATAACGTTAAATAGCAACGGCTTCACATAACATGTACCTGTTTTTTGTTTATCAAACCAAAAGACGATAACTGTCTTTGTGAAATGAATTTTTTCAGTAAATGACAATATGTTTGAAACAACAGTTAGCAGATTTGAATTTAAGCATTGCAATACAGCATTTTCCATGATTTCCAGTCAGACTCGGAAGTCCGCATGAAAGACGAGGTTGTCCTGTCGAACAATGCACATCTTCCCTGAATTTCCCTGTAGCTGAACATTCCACAGTTTGGGTGTAGAAAACACCACCTCGCGCAGATTAGGTAGTCTGTGAATGTGTCCTTCATGAGACCGTCGCTCCATTTGCCAGAGACTCTGAGAAATCCTCCTGTGCAGGTTTCTCCTGAATCAGCAATAAAATCATGCAAACCTTGTTATCTTTGCTAATAGTATGCTATCTACCTTGCAAATTGCTGTCTCAGAAAATACAACGATATTCCCGTCAATTCGTAACTGATGGAAGGACATGTGTAAAACAATTAACACCTTACCTAGACGGATGCGATGAGGTTTTCCATTGAAGCCCTTCAAGCCAAATCTTTTGACAGAGACACCTGTCGGGTCGGTTACATCAAAGACTTTGTCACTTCCAATCGTTTTACCTTTTCCATACCAAATACTTCCATTGCCCCAAAATGCCCAGAACCATCTGTAATGAGGAAAGGTAATAATGATGACTATAATTCAGAAATCATTCGCCATGCATTCTGTCTCCTCTCTGAAACAGAATTTGAAACTGAGTGTTCGTGGATTTTACATGTATTTGTTTGAGAAAATAAAACAAAACAATAGAGTTTTATAGTAATGGGAGTTGTTTCAGGTTGTTGTTAACATTTTGTCGCCAGAGCGCATTGAACTTCCGATAATCTTGTTGGTATTATCCCTTGAATTGTTTTCTGGCATGTGACTGGATTGAAGCTTAATACTGTGTTAGTAAGTTCAATTGTTTTTATGGCCCTTCACATTTTTTTTAAGGTAAAAGTGATCATCTTTTCGAACAGGACCGAAATTATAACTAAATTTACAAACAATCAAAGCAGTTTTAAAGCAGTGGTGCTAACCTATTCCCAGGAACACAAGGGAACACAAGAATCTGCCACCAAAATTATCCTTGCATGCGATTGGCTGTCGTTGAAGGTCAATATATGTTCTGTTGACCAAGAGTAATGCTATTAAACTGGAACTTCACATGAAGTTCTCAGTTAAGTAGAAAAAAGTGACTTTCGATTTTCTCAGACAAATAAAGTCATCAGATCGGAAATGCAATTAGTGTCTTTATTATCGTAGAGACAAAGCTAGTTCAATGTTTTCTGGGTGATTCTGAAGATGTCAATAAAGGGTCCCCTGCTTGTGAACATATTTCCAGTTGTTCGACATTTAATATATTCATAAAAAATACAAAATAGATATAATACATTAATGCAAATTCTTACCTGTATTCGTCACAGCGAACGATGGAATCCGTACCAACTTCCCTGCGCCCACTTGTTGGCCTGATTGTTAGTCTGGATCTAACATTGTCCCAGCCACCAATCAAAAACTCAACCAGCTCTGCACCGGCGGAGTCCAGGAGGCTGAGTCCATGGTCTTGGCATGCCTTCACTTCATACACTATACTTGTACATTCTTCAGCGTCAACCCCTAAAGTTATCAAGTCTTTGATCACATTATTGGCTCCATTTGTGTACACCTCCATGGGAACACCTGCAATTGTGATTATGTTTTACAGTCATTATATCACGATTTTTCACCTTTCATGGCTGTTTTGCAAAAAAGAAATCTAAGTCACTTATTATGCCAGAAAAGCGAGAGAACATGATGTTTATAGCTGAAACTGCGGTTTCTCCCCATCACCCTTCTGAAAACTTGGGTTCACCATGAGTCCCATGTATCATGTAAAGGGATGTCCACACATCGTTGTGTTACATAAGCAAGCACGAAGCCCTGATTTTAACTAGGTTGATTCACTTTTATTTACACGTCATTTGGATATTGCTGGAACAGTGCAGACTGTGGAAACAACATCAAATAGCTCACACAGCTATGAATATCTTTTATCATGGTGCATGTATGAAATGCAGTATTCATTTACAATTAAAAAAAATTCATCTGTGATATGTTTATTAACACAGCATCAACAGTCACTATTTGGTACTACATACACATTATTACATTTGCTTCAAAACATTACTGAAACAATTCGCAATGTGCATTTAAACAAATGTCTGACAAGTACAATGTAATTGGCAATTATAGGTGAATATATTTCTGTTGTCAGACAATGAAGACACTATTTACAGTCAACAATGTTGGAAATGGATACCATATTGGCTATTTGCAATAACGACCTTTTGTTTTTAGTCATGGGCATTTCATGAAGCATCCTTGTTGCGGAGGATGAAGCCTCCTGTTGTGGTTCAAATACAGTCTGTCGTATTGAATACGTTTATCAACGCATGATGAAACATGAACATATACAGTTAGAAAAGTTCATTCAACCTGGCCCGGCTTCATAAATCATTTTAAAGTGACTGATAACAATGTCGACCGACTCAGTCACTCTCATGTACACATCGGATGTTAAAAAACATTAAGCCCCAAAAAGGGAAATGCTCAAGGAATGAAGCTGGTCCGAAAGGTAATGCTAAATGGGATTGCATTCTCTTGTGTACTTTCGCACAAGTCTCCTTCGTCAAAGCGTCATCACGTTTTGGCGCAGGTTATTAAAGACACAATGAGCTCCTATATTTAAATAAAAGAGAAGAAACCCTTTCAACACTTATAAGAAGTCTTCTAAAATCAGACTCCATCAGACTACATCATTAGCATGCGATTATGAATCACTATCAGATAGTGATGACACCAGGTGTTCGCTGTTCGAGAAAAGTGAAGTTTAGTCCCCACCTGAAAGAAAATCCCGGAACATATGGTACAAGTCAAATTTGGGAATTGCATCGGACATCGTGTTGATAACAGAGGGTTTCAAATTTTGAATGTCCTCAACATGACTACCATAACACCTTTTAAAAGCTTTCTTAATGCCTTCAAAGTTGTAATCATTATTAAAAAACTTCGAGAAAGAGGCTCGATTGTACCTCAAATGTTGTGAAATGTAGGATCTGTCGGAATATTGTTCAACATAGGGGGGTGAGTTGACGTGTTGAAAGTCGAAGTTATCCCTCTTGTCATACAGTTTTGTGGCGAATTTGTTGTCAATATTATTTTTTATATTTTAGATCTAAGGAGGCGGTCTCACTAGTCTTCTTTATTTCTAATTCAGGTGGATAAATCAGTGACACTAACCGTTGTTTCAATGTGATATTAATAATAAAGCTTCTACTTAAATCACAACATGGAACCAGCGATAGCATATTAATCTATTTCCACGTTTATTACAAAGTGTAAAAATTCCAATACTTTCACTGGTAATGAATTTTCGAACCAGCATTTCACAGTTGTCGGTGTTGTCGTATTTCAGGCCATTAGAGAGAAGGTCGTTTCGCCGACTGCAGGCTTGTTAAAGTTTTCTGTTATCCAGCTGATCAATTCTATTTAAGAGAGGCTCTGTTTTCATATATAATTCAGTCTTGAGCCTGTCACAGTAGACTGCATCTTGTCATCTTTGATGGTAGTTGCATGCAAATTGAGGTTTTCAATCCGCCCATAATGCTCAGTATGTCTATTTTCAATGATAATTATTGACGCTCAATGTATTATTCAGAAAGTGTAACAATATCACTTGGTTGCAATGCATGGATCGCTATACCTATTCGACGGATGGGGAAGACATGCATTCAAGCGTTTTGCGACCCATGAGATCATCGTCATTGTCGGTATCGACCGATCGTGGTGTAACTATGTCACTGCCCTTTCACGAATCATGTTGGACTCTCTGAAGAGTCAGTCATCAGGTTTGGATGACAGGTCCCGATAGGTCAATTGTTTCATTAACTTTGACTGACAAAGCAAGGCAGTTTGTGGCATGAATGAAAAATACATATTTGACACTTCCAAGACATTATTCCATTATAACATTACATTTCAACTGTATAATCCGATCCATCTCATCCCAGATGTGCTCGATTGGTAAGAGATCAGCTGGGGAGCGAGCCGGCCAGGGGATGACATTCACGTTGTTTTGTTGAATAGAATCCTGAACAAGTCGAGCAATATGAGGCAGGGCGTGGAAAGGTAATGCCTGGGCCATGACGACGCAAAAACGGTAGAACAACAGGGCTGATGATCTCGTCGCGGTAGAGCTGTCCATTGAGATTTCCCTCTACCACTATCAAACGAGTCCTCTGTCTTGCTGTAGTAACCATACCATAACGCTGCCGCCCCCGAACCGATCTTCTTCCATGAGACAATGATTGACGTAACGTCCACCTCGATGTCGGTACACTCGAATCCGTCCATCGCTGTTGCTGAGGTGAAAACGAGACTCGTCAGTGAATAGACCTTGTCCCAACTGCATGGCCGTCCAGCGTACACGCTTTCTGCACCACTGTCAACATTGGACGTCAGGCGGGTTTTCTGGCGACAATCCCTGCACATCTGAGGCGACGACGTACGGTTTGTGAAGATATTCGTCGAAGGCCAGGGATGCTTCTTGCAGTCACTGTTGCTGGCTGGAATGGATTTCGTAGGTGTGTTGTTCGAATCCAGTTGTCTTGTCGATTATTGGTTACGCGTGGCCTGCCACTCCGCGGATTGTCTCTGACTGCATTCGTCTGTTGCCAACGTTGCCATAAACACCAAATGGTGTTTCTGTGGACGTTAAATTGTCTTGCAACATCATGTTGACTCGATCCTGCTTCAAGCATACCAATGGCTCGCAGACGCTCATTTTCGGACAGGCGTGGCATTTTGTAATGTTGAATAACTGCGTAATTTTGTTGTTTTTCTGAGTGGTTGTTGTCAGCACGATGCTAAAAAAGTGATATGTAATCCCGTTAACGCACACGTTTTTATACCCATTCTTGGGTAGTGAAATGCATAGGGCTTGCATGGAATGCATGCTTTTCAGTAGCAGTTGCGTTTTTGTGACTTGATTCCATACATGTACTACAATATTAACTGTGGTCTAACCGCCCTGTGTCATGACTGTCACTAAGAAGTTCAATTCACCTTCCATTTCCAAAAGAAAATCCATAAAATAATTTAAGCAAGGACACATGTACAGAAAAATATACTCGATGACTGCAAATTATCTGCAGTCAAATGTTTGGTCAGTTGTACAATTATCGTTTCTCAATTGTCCAGAGCTAAAACAAACGACTTGTCAACTCGGGTAGAAATGGGATAGAATCTCTTATCGACATTCCCATTGCCACATGAGTGGTGTGAACTGGAGTATTGACCTGATGGATACCATGAAGAGAAATCGAGAAATCGTTTCAATAGCATTGCATGATATTCACCATTCATGGCTGTCCCCAGTGTATTAATTATGACCTTACTGTCCCAAAAGAAAGTGGACATAACTTTCTTAGTGGACGTCTTAGTTGGGAGTCCCACATTGTTTCTACTCCACGTTTCCTCTCAGTATAATAGTGGTTGATCCAGATCTCATCATCTCTAGTTGAAAATGTAAATATCCTGAGTTGTTATTATTTAGGAGATAAACCTACTGTGTTTTGAAATTTAATGTAGTCCGACTATAGAATAAATACCTCTTATTGTAATTTGGAAACTAGCGCTTTAGCGAGTGGTTTCAAGTGTATAAATAAGAGTTATCTTCATTCTACCATGGCGGCAACAACGCATTTTTTAAAACGGCGCTCTCTTGCAACGCGGAAGTACACAGGGTTTCATTCAGAAAAGTGGCCACAGGTAGTTATATATGTAACAAATAGTACTAAAGTTCAACATTAAAAAACCCAAATTGTTTTGATAGGCATAACTTAGAAGTTGACGGATGACAAAACCGACACAATTTATGAATCACAACTTCTTTAATTACAGAAAGAAAAGGCGACGTTTCGGTATAGATCCTTATACCGTTGTCAAGCAAGACTGAATGAAGAACACGGTACAGAATTTATATTGTTGGTTTGAGGATTAACAGTAACAACAATTGCTTACATGCATTCATGTATGCAATTGTTATATGTCTCACGTAAATAAAAGCGACAAAGCTCTTTCAATAATCATTAGAAACTTCTGTCAAGAGCAGCGTCCACTGCACGACTCCAACTATATAATGAATATTTGTCTATGAATACCTATCAAATAGTGATGGCACGTGTTCGCGAAAAGCGAGCGTACCTAGCCTCACTGCTGGCACCTGCCACAAACACCCGAGAACTGCATCATTTTGTTTACTGATGCGTCAGATTTAGAAATGTCTTCCACACGTCCACCACCAGCTCCACCAAGGCCATGAATGTTAAAATCCCTCACATTTCCAATGACACTGTAATGCTGAACAGTTTGAAATGCTCTACATTCTCTTTAAGCATCTTGGTAAATCGTGTGTGTGAAATGCTATTATCCCTAAAAGTGTTGAATACACACAAAAATCATTATTACCTGACATACATGTAGTATTTGAAGTTCCAATTTATCATTCCACTGTCTTCTTCAAACTTCAAATCAGGCCTTTTCAGTTTATATAAGTATTGACTGTGTATTGTTTCGGTTTATTGAGGTATGAAACGAGCAACCGATGTGCAAACTGTATGAATCGGCGAAGCAGGTTCTAACATGTGCAAAACACACAATAAGAACGCATAATCAACTGTAACTCGAAGGACAAGATTTTACAAATTTTAGCAGAAAATATTTACTTGCATGACAAATCATGATGTCTGTGACAAAATGACATTGTTGTGTTTGATTATTTCATGCAGGGGTGGCCCAGTTGGCTTTGGAGTCGCGATACGCCGTGCAGTGTTGTGTCCCTTGGCGTCACAGAAACCTAAGATTGTTGGTTATCATACCAGATTTAACCTGATTATGTGTCTAGGTTTTTCAGCACCATACCAGTGCTCGTGATTTCCCTAAAAAGGGTAAAGGTGTTCGACCTGCAACAATTCGAGCAATACTCCCACATCAAGCTGACACCCCTTGATATAACTGAATACTGTTCAAACTCCTTAGCTTTCATTTGGGAAAGTACATGCACAATTTACATGTTTGAGTGTATGACTTTAGACCTTTTCATGTAAGTTGCAAGCATTTCAAAAACATTACATCGAGTTATTCAGTATGAAAACCAAATATGATGTCCCAAAGTGGAACAACAAATATACATTACTCATTGTTTGTACGAAGCTGTGAATTCATAAAATTCGTGTTGAAGTGGGAGAATGATACTTTCGCCACCAACACAACTAACAGTACGATGGGTGCAAGATGAAACACAGCAAAAATTGTTATTAAGTAAAATTGACAAAACACTTTCCATAGCCATGTGTTGAACGCAGGTGTAGCGATTAGTGTCAAAGAGAGATATGTTTGATATCTCGTTGTTTAAAGATGAAGTGCGGCAGTTGGTAACATATAGGCAAAATCGCAAAGCATGCCCATTTAAGAGGGGCGTTCAATAAGTTTTGCAACTTGGGCATTTGTGTTTAAACAAACAATGTCAACTTGTGGCAGGTGTGACACTGGTCATTACATCAGGTTGACACGTGTCATAACAAGTTCCAGACACAACAAGTTAGATGTGATGGCTTCATTCACCTGAAGGTGGTCACAATCATGGATTCTCTCAAACAGGAACAACGCGCTGTAATAAAGTTCCTTACCAAGGAGGTTTGCTAAGCAAAAGAATTCCATGATCGCATGTGTAAAGTGATGGGTAAGGATGTGACTATTCCACAGTTTGCCGTTGATCTCTACAATTTCAAAGGGTTGGGGAGTCCATAGACGATGACCCAAGGTCAAGCAGGCCTCCTTCAAATGCCACCCAACCGGAAACCATTGCTGCTATAGAAAGAAGAATTTTGTCCGACTGACGAGTGAAAGTATCTGAACTTTCTAAGGAATTCCAAATATCAGTTGGAACTGTTGTAACCATTATTCATGTGCATCTTGGTATATTCAAGGTATCTGCAAGATGGGTACATATAAACCTCAGAGCTCAAGATCGCCATCAGAGAACTGAAAGTTGTCGAGACATCCTGGATCTCTATACTGCAGATGAAGCCGGATTTCCTTCTCGTCTAGTGACAGGTGATGAAACATGGATCCACCACTGGGACCCAGAAACTAAATTGGAATACATGCAATGGAAGCACCCCAATCCTCCGCCTCCGAGGAAGTTTCGCACTCAACCATCGGCTGGCAAGGTAATGGCCACAATATTTTGGGATGCAAGAGGTATATTACTGATTGCTTAAATGCTACCAAAAACTACAATCAATGGACAGTATTATGCTAATATAATGAAAGAATTGCGAAAATCTATTCGCCAGGAACGCCGTGCATGACAACGCTCCGGTTCACAAGAATTGCACAGGCCGCCATATGTGAATGTGGATTCGAATATTTAAATCCCCCACCCCCAGTGACTATTTCCTGTTCTGGAAATGAAATCTGCCCTACGTGGAAGACGGTTCCAGGATGGCGAGGACATAAAGGCTGCCACAGAGGCGTGGTTAAAGGGCCAATCTGCGGATTTCTATAAAAGTGGAATTAAAAGCTTGAAAGACAAAAGGAATAAGTGTATTGAGGTGAATGGAGATTATATTGGAAAAAAAAGTGCAAAAGATATTCTGCGACTTGGTCTTATATTGAAGTTGCAAAACTTATAGAACGCCCTTTGTACATGGGACTGCTTAATAACATTAAAGCACATTTTTCAGTGAGAAAGGATAAAATTGAATGCCTTGAACATACCTGAATAGCCATTATCATTAACACAAACGTTAGGTCAGAAAACTTGTGGTTCTTGGGAATGAGAATATTGAATTATTCGTTAATTTTAACGCAAACAACATGACTTGCACAAAGCATAGTTTTATCATATCTGATTTAAGATCATGAAAAGTATTAAGAAAGCGTAAAATTTCATTTCTCTAACTCAAATAGCTGTTGAGAAAATTTGTCCACTTGAGAAGCGGACCTGTCGGACGGACGGACGGACGGACGAAATCCGTTTCTATATTCCCTGCCCCTCTTCTTGAGGGGGGATAACAATTCAAAGTTACCCTTCGTTGGTCAATTGTTTTCTGGGGTAAAACAAACAAGACCAGTAAAAATCACCAAATGTTGACAAAACCTTTCTCATCACAGTTGATACACATTTTATCAAAATCTATTTAACGTATACACACAGGGCTTAGGACGATAGTAAAATATTGAAACTAACCTTGCGCAGCAGTGACAATGAGGAGGATCGCTAAGAACGACGAAACACGTAACATCATGCGCCGTCAACAACGTCTGTTCCAGCCTCCAAGTTGTCCAAAAGTCAAATCAGTCATGGAAATACAATGCGTTCATATGAGATTTCTCTCTTTTGAAATCACAACCTAGGAGCATCCTATTCCCTGCTGAAGTGTTAGTGTCAGTAATGAACTTGGTCCTAAAGGCAGATCTACTAGTCTCAGTATAGTTTTATGTTCTCAGCACCAAGCACATTAATATTTTAGGTTTCAGTCCCGACCTGTTAAACACAGGAATTCCTTTCTGTTATCTATTGTGACTTTCCTGTTTGCAGCTCAGGAGGACCCATTATGTAACTGGTATGTTAGACCAATCATTCAGTAAACTGGGGATCTGGGAATTTTGTTATTAGAGAAAATATAAGTGTCTAGTCAATGCTTTAAGATATACGAGTGTTCTCTCTAAACGAAGGAGACGAGAACAATATTGTATTTGTCAGGACACGCAACGCCGCAATTCGATGAACATTCACTTTTCAGAACATTTACTTTGTGTAACATATTTGTTTCCAGTATGTCCTCTTGTGGTACTGTTACGGTTGGCTACTTTCAACTACTTCTCCAAGCTTGCATTAAGGATGAATCTGCCACTTTAAAGGATGTCTATTTGTATGATAGGAATTCGATTTGCTGATAGCCACGAATTCAAATGCAGGGATTCTTGTTAGAAACAAACATCGATTTTTTTAATATTACCATTAATCTTTTGTGATTTGTGTAGCAGCATAATGGGACTCATATTCATGTCACTAAAATAGTTAATGGATGTGTCATCTGAAGTAAATGTGTCAATGTAACTGGACGAAATAACGAAAAGGTAGCTTTATCAACTTCCAGGTCTATCAACTTGGGGAACTTATCAATTTGATTTTTTATTGTGTATAATCAGGGCACCACATACAGCACAGACAAGGCAACATTTGAGAACTACCCTTTTCTGAGATGAAAGCAGATACTACAATTTGAGTGTAGATGGCTCAGTGGGGCTTTAGCAGTAGACGAGGGGAGGGGCTGATGTTTGTTTTGTAGAGAGAGATCAATGGGGGGTTCCAAGCAAAACGACATAGGATGCCGTTGGTGGAAGAAGCGAGTTGGACCAATTACCATTGAGATCATTAATCCTGACGGGGGTAGGGCCGTCAGTGCTCGCCAATACATCGACTTTAAACAAGATAACGCCAGGCCTTACACTACGAGACGCGACATCCTGATATCAGGACTCTTCCATTGACAGCACATTTGCTTCTATTTAGGTTCAGTGAAGATAAGTTAAGAACATGTTAAACGATGTACTCCCAAACAACAAGAACAAGAGAAGTAATATTTTGGAAGTAAAAGATACGTGGCTATGGAATTGGGTCCGAATAATACTTCTTTCTTAACTTTGAAAAAGAAAATTTTACTCGTGGTTTCAAATACCAATATAATGATATTAATTCAAAATAGGTTTTGATGGGTCGTTCCGTCAGTTTCTAAATGTGACCAGTGAGTGAATGAGGTAATATATAACGTTGCACTGGCTATATTACTGACTCATATCGACAAGTTGAGAGACCGAGGATGGTGTATGTCGAAGGGCACAATACATCCTTTAAGGCTTTGCTTGATGTTTTACCTTATTCGATACACCTTCCAAGCAGGACGTACGAACTCTAAAAGCTAATGTCTTGGGATGCCAAAAGTTTATCCAACAAATCTGTCTCTACTTGTTTCATTATCTCTTCAAATCTATAAAAGATCTCTCTTGAAAAAGGCGATTTCTAAGTTTTCCTCGGGCAAAAACCTTATGAAGCAGTTCATGTAACACGTTGATGTGTTCAGAAAGTGGCATCAATGAACCATTGTTGGTTTGCTAGTATTTGCCTAATCAATACGCTAAATAGAACTATTTCGGCGGATGATCACGACTATTATTCCTTTGCATTGACGTTATATATCTTCTATGTGTAATGTACTCTGTAATAGTGACCCACTTCTCTAAGCCAGGCACACCTTAAATTCACATTCATCTTGGGTATGAATCCAAGTATCGCCCTTGTTAAAATCCTTTCTTATCACCATACACGTGATTGTGGGTTTCACCAAAGGGGTAAAAGCCTTCTTTCATCGTATGTATTTAAGTATGGTATTACCAATGAGCCACATCAGTGTTGTTGCTGTCCTTAATAGTGCTGTTCTAAGCATCTGGATAAAGCTGTTCATGTGATAGGGACCTAGCTATATATATAGTATTCAAACTATCTGTGTACCGTCAGATGAATGCAGATCATTTGTATCTTTGTTATCATCATTTATTAAGGGTGATGTTTAGTTAATGCGCATACATATACTGAACCGCAAAAGAAACGTCACCCCAAATAACATTGCATGAAAAGTTTACATTTAAATATCTGGGTACTTTTTGTCAAAGTTCCTAAAGCCTAACATTACCTTGTTCGGAAATATGAAATATGATGATAAAAAACAAAGCAGATGACAATAAAACAGGTCGCCCAAACGCATCACGCCAACGGCCATGGTAACCCGATGCCCGTGAGTTCCGTGCAAATTGAAATGCACATGCGTTCCCCCATTTCTTGCCCTATACAAATCCACCCAGATCGGATAACATTCATCCGTTATTGAATTGCTACCACATGCCAAGATTGACAAGAAATCAAGGACACCAAGCCCTTGGATGATTGCAAGCTTGACAAACCGCCCGGCAGGTAGCCAATGCATTTCTAGTCCACGTAAGGACCATATACAGGCTCCAGCAACAGTACCAGGCAACCAACACTACAGATGACCGACCACGTAGTGGAAGACCAAGGGTCACCACCCGACGTCAGGATCGTCAGCATCTTCAAGATCGCTTTGTTACTGCAGCGGGAAAGCGGTCGTAAAATCGCATAACATTATCCGATGTATATTTTCTTCAAAATGACCAAATCCCCATGTCCCAGTCCTCCTTATTGTGTCCTATTTCGAATAAAAATCAAATTTAACTCATAAGCGAAAGAAAAAAGTACTGTGATAAGTTGGGAACTATGTACAATCTTGTTATAAAAACAAATCGTGATATTCCTATTTCAGTATTCAAATATTGTACCAACAATCCTTTCGCTTCTATGCGTGTTTTGTGGAGAAACAATCGTAAAGTAGTAATAAGGTCGACTGACAGTTTCGTCCGTTTTCTGCATTTCTCGGCTTGGCAAGTGTCCAATATATTGAACACAACAGAATTGAGATATAAAATGGTATGCGAGATAGTGCTGTTTCAACACGAGTTCAAAGATTGAGATTTTATGACTGCTCCGCAAATGAAACAGCACGCACGACTATCGAAATACTGTTGGATTATTAATTAACGCCACGATCAGCAACCTTCCAGCTAAGTGAATGATGTAAGAGATTTATATGGTCTTACGTGTACGTGATTTATATATGATAGAGATTGTGGAAACCTGGGATCAGCATCATAAATGGTTCATAAGAAATATGACGGACTTATCTTGTAGTTCCACAAAGTTGTTCACTTCAGAGCGTCAATACAAACGTCCACTGAAACAAGCGTCTGACGACGTTACCCAACATGCATTGCCATGGTCTTGTATAGAATCCAATATAATATTTGTATACTGCTTATGATACTCGTCATGTATACACATATATTTATGATGTGTCATTGCTAATGTTTGTGTCCTCCTCGGCAGATTCTAAGAAAGAGTACAAATGATTCGGGTCGATTTTATGGAAGCGATTGAGAGACTCATAGAGTTCTTGAGGGGGAAGTCGGGCGCTCCCAACGCGGCTCTGCGCGTCACCTACAGTAGTGTACACACTACCTTGTACAGGTGTTATGTAACTTGCGCTTGAACGCAGTATGCCCTTCACACACAGGTCGCGTGACAAGGTCTGATTGTCATCTGCAGGTCGCGGCAGGTAATCCATTGGCATAGCCGGGACATCATCTACAGGAGGGTGCACAGGTGATATGTAACTGAAGCTGGAACGAAGTAGGTGTTTCACAGACATTTGCCGGGGATCGCTTGGCAGGGTGTAATCGTCCTCTTCCGTGTCCCGATTGGCGTGATAGACTGGTGACGGGTAGCTTGAGTTGAGTTGCAAGGAAGCGCCCGTGTTCCCTGTGACTCCGAGGCCGTCACCTGCATCTCTATCGGCTATCACATTGACGATATCGCCAACCTTTCGATCACTCAGCAGAGACGGAGATATTGCTGGTGATCTGTAAAACGCTCTAACTGACCTACTGCAACAAAGGTGGACATAGAATATAGTGTTATGAATGTGACAGTCATGTCAAGCAAGGCCGAATATCAAATTCTTAGAATGCATTAGCCATATCGTACACGTGCACGTGACAATGATTTTTACGCCACTTTTGGCTATATTTCAGCCATATCTGCCGTGGACAGAGGTATTGGGGAGTGAATTTTACGTAACGCTGTACCACTATTTTTGCAGCAGATTCACACATTGTACCCATGTAGGGAATCGAACTTGGGTCTTCACAGCGTGAGAAACCGCTTCAACATTCATATGCTGTTCCACGAAACCAAAGCCCCATAATGTACCCTTATTTTCATGACATTCTACAGATTCGAGCCAAATCAAATATCTCCACAATAATATATATAGTGAACTAATGATAAAGTTTTTCAAGGCATCTGTCATACTGCATATTTGTGCCTTTTGTTCTAGAGTTCTGAGGTTGGGTTTAATGCGCTTTGAACAGTTTTCCAGTTATATCACGGCGTGTCAGATTACTGTGGGAGGAGAGCTCGAAGTGGATGCCGGTCTCTGACGTTTACCACTGTGGAGAAACCCACGAACACAAACAAATAAAACTTAATCGGGGCGAACCGAAATTCGAACACAATCACAGGTTGCTTCTGTCGATAATGAAAGGAATAAGCAGTGAGAAACACAAATAAATACATTCTATCTCAACGTTATTGACTTTATGATCTGTCGACTGTGACATTACACATTTACATCCTTTATCCGTCGTAGATACCGTAGAAGACCACATTCACTTGTCTTTTACTATTAGGACCGTCTCTTTGGTCTTGTGGGAGAGCGGAAGGTCCGGGGTTCGATCCCCGGCCGCGTCATACCAAAAGACGTTAAAAGAATGTACTTGTTGTAACCCTGCCTGGCGCTTGGTAAACAAGCACTGGTCGGCTCGGAGTCTGTATACTGTGTCTGAGTGGGGTATTCATGTTAAACTGCGGCATGTTATCTCAGTGGTCTAGCACTATAAACTCGGCATTAGTCAGAACTAGTACAAGCAGAAACAGACACACGTGCATGTACGTCGCTATGAAAGTGCAATGATATTGACGTTAAACTCCATTTCACCTCACTTGTTACTCACTCTTCATCCTCGTTGTTTGTTGTTTAGCGCCGCACTCAGCAATATTCCAGATATATGACGGAGGCCTGGGCATACATGTAATCGAGTCTGGACCAGACAATCCAGTGATGAACACGGATTCAACCCGTAGGGTAGGATGACAGCAAATCAACCAAGACACGGAGTCTTACAACACGATCCATTAGGTCGCCTCGTAATAGAGCATGTCTTACCCGGTTGGTTGGTTGGTTGTTTAACGCCGCACTCAGCAATATTCCAGCTACATGACGGCGGTCTGTAAATAATCGAGTCTGGTCCAGACAATCTAGTGATTGACTTCATGAGCATCGATGACATGTATCAACCAAGTCAGCGAGCCTGACCACCTGATCCCGTTAGTCGCCTCTTACGACAAGCATAGTCACCTTTTACAGAAAACATGGGTTGCTGAAGACCTGTTCTAACCAGGATCTTCACGGGTCTGCTCGCAGTAATATTCTCAGACATAAGTGTTATTTAAATCGGAATTTAAACGAAACGATTATACACAACGATTGGTCCAGGGCGTTATCATAATAGAACGGAAATGTAATACCGAGGATGCTCACCATCGTATTGCCAGAAGTATGACCACGATTGCCACGAAGACACAGGGTGCTGTCATCATGATTATAGTATTCGTACTCAGAAGACCACCTGTTCATAAAACCAATAATTAGACTTGTACAATGGTGAGGTGGCTGTGTGTAGGGTTAAAAGACATTTATCAACATTTTTATGTTTCAAACATACTTTCCACGAACAAAAGGAATCGGGCGAACCAAAGGAATCTGTTGCTGTGTACGGGTACTTTGAAAAGACATCCATAAAAGCATAGTGATTTATCAGCGCGTCTGTAGCCTGGTGGTACACTCACAAGGCTGCAGATACAGAAATTGCATGTTCCATCCTCGGCAATAAAGAAAACATTTATCATTTCATGTTACATTTCGTTAATTGTGTTCAAATGCAAAATAAATTCTAGCGAGAGACATTCATATGTTACAATATAAACGGAAGTTGTATTAATAAAATCCAAGGGAGGTCATAATATCCCTGTTGATGAGAACAATAGATTTAACCCTACTGGTTGTTCATGAGAGCGGTATACATATTCTAGGAAGTGATTTCTTTGTAAACAAAAAACACATTCAATCATATAACTGCAGAGTTCTTATGTTTGGCTTTTCAAATGTGCGTCCTTTAGATGGCGGCAACATCATGGATAGAAGTACTGGAGGGCTATTAATTTACTTCACAGAATGAATATCAAGGGTATGTATATATTTTGAATGAGGACTTCAATGAAAGAACGGCAGTTTCTGTTATCTGAGTGTACCGTCACGTCATCCTGTCTCAATCATATACCCTCGGTTGCCTGTCAAAGTATTTCCTGCTCGACTGTTTAGTATTGTTGTGGCTTACCTAATTTTATCGACGCATCGAAACTAAAACTCGAAACTGAAAGCTAGTAATGCTGCAAATAGAAGCTATCACATCCCCCTCAGAAAGATATTTACCAGAAATTTCGTTTTACGGCAGTGAATAACAGTGTAGTGACTAAACGCTTAGTGATTTAGATCGATGTGGTTTTCATTAACGTTTGCAAAGGTGTAGCCATTAGGCTCTTGGCATTTAAAAAACCCACTTGACTGGCACCGTTATGCCAGTAACTCAACTTTATCCAAATAACACATATTTATGCCAGTAATACATATTTATACCAGTAACACATCTTTAGCGACATCAAAAGCGACAAAACCCTTTCCGTATTCACCAGAAATCTCTGCCAAAAGCAGAGTCGATTGAACGATTCCGACTACATCATGAGCCTGTGTTTATGAATCACTATCAAATAGTGATGGTACCAGGTGTTCGCAGAAAGGCGAGCGTATCCTGCCCCACCGGTGGCACCCGTCACAAACACATGCAAAGACACGTCATTTGTTAACCTGAAAGAAACACGGGAACATATGGTACAAATCGGGATGGGGAATTACATCATTCTTGTCAATAATGCGACAAATTTGGAAACGTCCTCCACATGTCTTTAATGTCGTAGGGGCGGTTGGGTAGCTTCGTAATTGAAACGTTAGCTCGTCACGCCGAAGACCCGGGTTCTATTCCCGACATGGGTACAATGTGTGTGTGTGTGGGGGGGGGGGGGGGGGGGGGGGGCATTTCTGGTGTTGATCCACACTTAATTCTGTATAGGTTGGGATAGTATGGCTGGCTTACTGGTGACTGCGATGCTAGGCAAAGATATCCTACTCACTCTTCCAGAAAGCGCAGCGTGCTCTAGGTATCCTACACTACATGCATACTAGATATATTTATGGAGTAAGTACCTGTGGTCGGTTTGGCATCTGCTAGCGATTCCTTGCACTGTTCACAAATTTGATTACACAGTGCCTCCATATAGCCACGGATACATTCATATGCACGTGGCCGTGAAAGCTTGTCACATGAATCCGTGTCTAACCCTGGCAGATTGCGACAGTACATGCTGCAGTTCTCGGTACATGCCTCCTCAGAATGAATCTTGAGACCTTCAGCCATGCCGCTTTTAGTGCAACACCTAGCTGTGAAATCAGAACAGGTTTTATTACAGTTCTCCTCATTCAATCCACTGACATTTGAGTCGCACGCGTTTCCAAATTGTTTACATTGTGTACAGCTTTCGGGATTCCTCTGATCACAAGCTGCCCCATGAGCGCCATCTTCACATCCGTACTGACAGACTGGCCGACCGTTAAAATCAATCCTACATGCTCCTGTCCGACAACTTGATGCTACCTCCCCAGGGCGGATACTTGTATTTATGGTCAGTGCAGCCTGTGTGGTTTCGCCTGTTGCTGTGTTTGTTTGCTTCAACGAATGTGTAGCTTCACACTCTCCTGTCCTCCAGTGACACGAGCCCGGACACCTGGAACACTGCTTGTCACATTTCTTGCCGTACAGACCTTCACTGCATTCCTTCTTACAGGACACGTTGAATCTGTAGCACAAGCTGTCAGTGCATGTCGATGGACATTTCTTGTTGCATCGGATACCATAAAACCCATCACGGCAGTCGTCACAAAGTCCCTTTGTAGTCCATGAGCCAGACCGAATATGAGTATCAAAAAGCTGAACAGATCCAATGTGGATTTTCAGTTAGCATGATGTCTTAAGTGTTCAAAAAGCCCACCCGGACAATCAGGATCGGTAGCTTAATACCAATTTGGCGGCCATCTTTAAAATGGCCGCCACGCCCATTCAGAAATATACTAACCACCGGAAAAACTGAAATAACTCGCCACCAAGATGACCTATGAACATGCAATATGGCTTATTTTGTTCGTAACGAAATTCTGCACCAGACAGTATATAATAACTTGACTTTTGATTTTATAATCTGTTCCAAAATTCGGAGTTTTTCAAACATATGGGTATGCGTTGATGCTTTTTTTCACAAAGTTCTTTCAAATGTCAAGCCTGCTATACACACCAGCAAATGTATGTCCTAGATCACCTTGGGCAGCTCTCCAGGTGTGGATAAAATGTTTGGGGCAGTTATTTGACCCTTAAGTATAAGTGCAGACAATAAAATTTTGGTAATAATTTATTGCATTTGGCGCTTTCTGGAGTGGGTTATCACCACGAATCAGAGGAAATCAGTTAAACCATACCCAAAAAAGCCTTTATGCACAAATTGGCCTCTCTATCGAAAATGGGCTCTGCTCTACTTGGGTAGGGTTTTGTGAATTGGAATTATAGTCTGTTTCTAATAATCAATCGACTGAAAGAAAAATGCTATTCCAGGTGGCTTGTGGTTCAAAACATAAGTCCGCATTAGTCTTCATCACTATCGATGTCACTATCGTCACTCTCTTGGACTGGGTCGGTGTCATCTTCCGCTGTCATGTTGGCACAGTTCTGCAGTTTGCATGCTGGGGTGCAGGGTAATCCATTCTGGATACAGGTGCAACTGTCTTCAGCACAAACACGTGGACACTTGCAAGCCATCAGGGAGAGAACCAGCTCAGGAGCCGGTGCTCCAGTTAACCACGATATTGCAATGTCTCCGTCACTCAGATGCCAGCCATGCCCTTCGGTTGGTTCAGGGAGGTCTACTGTGTTCTGAAGGCTGCGCCGCCATATAGCTGCCTGATAGTTAGCACGTTTAGTATGCTGTAGCAAGGCATCCTTACAAGGTGGAAGCTGCCCAGATGACAAATCACCCTTTTTGGCACAGAACATATCGTACCTCAGTTCATTCACCCCTTTGGCCTTTGTATTGCGACAGTACATGCTACAGGTGAACTCTTGTATGCCATCAAATAGATCATCTGAAACGGACCACTGCTGTCCAAGAAGCACAAACGTATCCCTGAACTGTTCATTCTTCCTGATCAAGTTAACGGCTTTTACCTTTACCTTGCCCGCGAATGAGCTGACAGAATCACAGCCAGTCCAGGCATGGACACCTATTAGTGCCTCACAGACCTTCTTGCCTAGTGTGGTACCCAATTGGAAATGTCAATCAGTCTAAACTGATTTTTCTTTCCTCTTCTCAATAGTATCCGTGTGCCAATTTCTGAATGCATCCCAAGGAGGATAACAAAAACATCCGTATCCTCTGAAATCACAATCACTGTAGGATAGTTTGCTGCGGCATGCTTGGCATGGACAACAAGTCGTGTATCGGCTTCTTCATGTCCAGTTGTAGCCAATTCTTCCACCTCTGTCACTTTATCCTGTGTAATCTGAAAGCATAGTCCTTCGGATGTTACCATTAACGTAGTGTTACCAAGAAGCTCTCTTTTCTTTTCGTCTTTCCAGCTATCCGCCAGAAACTTTGTCAGCTTAGTCTTGCTCTCGGTGCTGGCTAACAGACGTTTATAGTTCTTGATACGATGGCCAGGCTTGATTTGACTGAAGACAATCCCTTGAGTAGACCCGCGATTGATCCTTTCTGCAGTCTTTATCGACTGGTCCCTGTACATATCAAATACTACATCGGTTCTCTCACTTCCTCGTCCGTCAGTAAGGATCTGTTTCAGTATTCGATCAGACAGTTCGTCAAATGTCAGTTGCTCCCCATGGACCTTTTGAACAATGCCCATGGCATCAACGATGGTTGCCCTTCGCCCGGTGGCCATGTCAGTGATTGCCATGTCCTTCTCAATATGCTTGCCTAATGATGATTTTCCTGTTTTCTTCAGTGTCCCATCACCATTGGCTAGTGCCCATGGCTTTTGACCAAGGGGATAACACATAACCTCTCGCATGTCCAGCTTTCTGTTCTGGGCAATAAGAAGCATGTGACCAAATGCCCGATTGTCTGCTTTCAGAACAATTTCTTTGTTTGTTCCTTTTACCACAGTGTCCTTTTTCATGTCGGCGAATGTCTTCAATTTCAACTTCTTTATGGGATCATAGAATCCCGACCCTTTTTCCAGCCGTTCCGCCTGTAGCTTGTATGCCTCCTCTCCCCTTTCTCGAGCTTTAATAATGTCACTGCATACATCAGGTGGTGCTGCTGCACCTGTGGAAATGCAGACTAGATCAATGGGCTCATTCCCAAAGGGGTTTATCCAACTGCTTTCAAGCAGTTCGACTATAGACTCCACATCAGCTTCGTCTCTGGTGTTCCGCGAATTCTGCAAGTCAGTATGACCAAGCCCTGGACTCTGCAACGAGATGAGGTCTCTTAGCTGTCTCAGAGCATTTGCCCTATGCTCTGCCCTGAGATAGTAGCGAGACAGTGCAACCTGATTTAAGCTAAAGCCCTTTGTCCCACCGGGCGTCTGGGTGTCCTTATTAACTGTCTCTTCAAGGGTCTAGTCTACAGCAATTCTGCCAAATGGATTACTCTGTCGGAGCTGCACCGAGAATCCACCATCAAGAAAGTGCCGTTGTAGATCTGGGCAGGTTCTATCCAGTTCACTCATCTGTGCATAGTTCGTTTTGTCCATTGCGAAACACCAGGGTATCAAATCCCTGATGCTACTCAGATGCAAATGCCAGTCTCCGGTTCGGTCTGCACGAATCAAACCAAGTAGTATTTCTACCAGATCAATGTACAGCATCCAGTAGGCAGCCAACTGACCGTTCTCATGACGTAGACCATCCAAGAAAACTGCAAACAAGTCGAGGATCCTCTGACAGGATTCGTTATTCAAGGTAGATTCGAATGTTGTGAATACCCATATGTTTTGAAAAACTCCAAATTTTGGAACAAATTATAAATTCAAAAATAACGTTGTTATATACTGGCTGGTGCAGAATTTTGTTGCGAACAAAATAAGCCATATTGCATGTTCATAGGTCATCTTGATGGTGAGTTATTTGAGTTTTTCTGATGTTAGTATTCTTCTGAAAGGGCGTGGCGGCCATTTTAAAGATGGCCGCCAAAAGTGTATTAAGCTACCGATCCTGAATGTCCGGGTGGGCGTTTTGGACACTTAAGACATCATGCTAACTGAAAATCCATATCGGATCTGTTCAGCTTTTTGATACTCAAACCTGAAATTTTGAAGTCTGGCTCATGGACAATCCGTCCTTGCATTCCGATGGACACTCTAAAACTGTTACGGGAAACAAACAAATATATAAATATATAATATATGCTAGAAAAATCATTACAAAAATTATGGTTAAATTAATTAGCTAGATATGGGATGGTGGGGTCGCCTAGTGGTGTAGTTTAAGTTTTTAGGTTTGAATTTGACGGATACTACACAACACTCATATGAGTTGGTAACCCAATCACAAAGTTTTGTTCCACCTCTTCCTTACTTTTAGAGAAGGTGCGATTATTTAATAAACCACTGGCTTGGATTGTTGTCCAAGCTATAAACCACTCGTTTGCTTTGCAAAGAAAAAGGCACATTGTCGCGTTATCGCCCTGCCTTATAAAATCGAAAAGGGACAATATTAACCTAGGCGGGACATTGCGACAATATCACAACGCGACATCTTGACAATTGTCCTGTTGTCTCATTGTCGCGTTTTGAATAATATTTTGTTTTTTTGCCAAAGGGCGATGAAGGGACTACATATATTTTCAAGTCGAAATCTCATACATTATATCCGAGGTTTGGCGAATGATTGATTTGGTATTTTTGTATTGTGGCTCATTCAGCAGTATTCAAGCTTGATCATATGATTATTCAGGATATACGTTTTGTAAATATATTTGTCAACATTTTATGTGAGAAAAGCATTGTTTGTCATATCCTGGAAGATACTGGCTGTTATTTGCATCATTAAACACAAACTTACCATTACTGGAACTGCAGTAGAACCCAACCAACAGACATGTCATCAACCACCAACTGACGGCACCCATTACATCAGATGTGTCTCAACTGGAATGCCACTTTCGTCACCTGGAGATATTAATGCTGGTGCGTTATTATTATATGATTTTACACCATTATGAAAATTGCAAACGCTGAAATGAAATGACGTCACAATGAAACCAATAACTTAAAAATGCATCACTCATGCAACCAATCAGCCAGCCAGCTAACCAACCGATGTATGTTGTTTCAAGGCCACAGTACGTGCGCATATAACAGTACAATTGTGAAGCACGTGCGCATTTACATCACGACGATTATGTCCAAGATAAATATCTTCCTGACATAAAAAATCTATCAATGTTTTCCGTCACAAGTAGAGACTTCAAACAGGGTACAAGAGTACAACCTTATTAGGTAATGTAACTATGTCCGAAATTCTTAATTCTTCATATAATTAACGAGAAATAATCTGAACAAGTAGCCCAAGTCGCTGATATGCATTGTCCAGTTAATATTATCCACTGGTCCAGGGTTCGAATCCATGATTTGCCCTGCTGTAATCCTTGTTCTGTCAGAAACCTGCCACTGCTCTTGTGACTTCTTCGACAAAGGTTGTGATGCAGAGTCACTCACTATCGATATGATTATCGGAAAACGTACATACAGAATGGTGGCTGTAAGAGTAAAGACTCTTCTGTATTCAATTGTATATAAATGATGTACCTCATTGTGAACTTTAAAACGTCCTGTCGACTCATGGGAAGCAGATCGTTGACGTTTTGCACTTTGATGAAAGCCACTAGCAGGGGTATTGTACTGACCGAACAAACAGTAGAATCAGGGTGAATGTGTCATTTAATCCCACGACCGGCGCTTCGTGGAGCAACTATAGGATGCACATCGAATTGTGGCGTATTAGGCTATTGGGCAACCCATATCTCCGGCCAGGTGTAGACTAAGACCTCCTCTCACCTTGATTCCTGTTCAGTGTTCAGCTTTACAGCGTATGGTCACCGTTGACTTCCCAAGACCAGCTCGATGTGGGTTGACAGACTGCCTGGTTGTGGCCATCAATGTGCAGGCGGCATATGTGCAATAATATAAAAGTGAACAATGTCCTTGTCATTGAAGGGATTTTGTGGCAACTTCCGTGTGAAAATGAGATCTGGCGGTTGTGATATTAGTCACATTTAGGACTGAACGGTGTGTTATATATAAAGTTGTTACCATGAACAAATAGCATTATTATTGTCACGACTAATCCCACATCGAGGGGTTTAGAAGTGAATTCGTAATGGCGGAGTATCTGCTTTAGCAACTTCGTGATGTCCGGAGTGAGAGTTAGTTAGTTTGGAAAAGTCTGACTTTTCTCGAACATACGGTATCATCCTTATCTGGCAGTGCTTCATAAACACAGTCATGCATACGATACAGTCGGTATCGCGTAATGAACTGTGCTAAGAGCAGGGATTTCTTATAACTTTGGAATGTTCGTCTCCGCGTGACTTGAGATCTCCACGAAGAGCGGACGGCCGGTGCTCCGATCCCCTTGCCACGAAAAACTAAAATACGTTAAAAGACGGTACTTGTTTGTACTCGAAATTAAGGAGATAAAACAAGGACTGGTCCTCACGGAGTCAGTATACTGTGTCTGGGTTGGGAATACTCACTGGGACCGCCTCCGCGGTCAAGGGGCTAAATCAAGGACTGGTTGGCTAAACGTCCGTATACTGTGTCTGAGTGTGGTATACATGTCAAACTGCGGCATGGTATCTCAGTGGGCTAGCACCTTCAAGTCGGCTTTAGTCCGGACTAACAGAAGCAGCCACACACACGTACATACATGTCCCTACATTTAAGTGCAATAATCGTCCTCATACAGGAAGAAGAAAAAGAATATTTTAATCCGTACATTGCTTTTAATGTTACGACATGTAGGCGGTGGTGTTCAAGATCCAACCCTATAGGCCTATGAGACAGTAAATACATACAAATACATGTTAAACTGTGAAAAGGTTAAAATATGTACATGCCACTACAAATGCGAGTCAGCATCTGAGAATGGCCCGCAACCCCTCTGCATCTCTCATTACCAACAGATCGACTCCCACCTCAGGTCAACGACATCGTCAACCACAAAATGTCTGACTTTGACTACACAGACCATGTATAGGAAGTTCTTCACCTGGAATGAACATTAATATGAATATGTACATTCTAAGGAAATAAAGAAGCTTGATAACGGTGGACGAATCCACATCTAAACGTTGCTATATGCAAAAGGTTGTTATCCATAAAGATGTACGTTTTTCTTACTTATTTGCCAACTTATAGAATGTCAATCAAACAGTTTTGTACATTCTAACATTTCGAACATTTTAACTTTACATGCATAAATACGGTAACGAAATTGACGAGCGGTACTCCTTTGTTCTCGTTTTATTTTCCTTGCCCCGGGAGCGCCACGGGGAGCTTTCCTCCTAAATATCAAATATGGCGACCCTGGCCGACATCGACACAACACGTCAGTGTGTTATGTTTTAGCAGGGGCAATGATCCACGCCTGGCTACGAAGACACTGTATACCTGTAACATAATTCACCCTCCAGGGTAAAAGGGTTTGGGGAGTCTGTTGCGTCCTGTAATCCCAGCGTAGGAGATTTGGTGGAAGGAGGGAGCAGGCTTGGGCTGAAATTATTAGTCACAAGAGTTGGTTAACCTTACTTACTACTACATTAACTATTCCAAGATATTTCCTGATGTAGAGCCCATTAGCAATTAACGAAAACTTCTGGGATATGATATGATCCGATCGCTGCTCATGTTTTCAATGAAGTGGTAAACGTCTGAGACCTGCATCACTTCGGGCTTTCCTCGCACATTAAGCTGACACGCCATGATATAACTGGAATACTGTTAAAAGCGGCGTTAAACCCAACTCACTCACTAACTCATGTATCATAGCAAAAACAAAACTGTGCTCTGGTTTTACCAAATAGAATTCACTGTTCTCTGGACAAGCTGGAGGTGTTTTAGATAATGTGTTGTGAATTGAAATTAAAATTGTTCGACTCATATCATCACAGTAAAGGATTGCGTGTTTTGAATCAGTGACCGAAAACAAGTCCTGGTTCATACACAATCTTCAGCATTATTTCAAAACATCCATTTTGATTCGTTTACGTTCAAATCAGTAATTTATACACTTTTACTGCCTTCTTGTCACGTGTCGTTCAGATGGTCGTAGATTATTGGTGTTTTAAAGAGTACAAAGATTTGATAGAACATAGAGGTTGGTTTGTAAATTGAGTATGAACATATGTTATTAAGCTTATACGCATATGACTGTAGTGTTTGTAACATGAGTGGTCTTCTTATTATATAATTTATATAGTTTCTTGACCTTAAAGTTTTGATGTCAACATAAATCTAATCATGTAACAGGGAGTGGCATTTACATAGTTAGGCCTGTTTACCAATCCCCTTAAGTTAAGTTGAATATAATATGATTAAACTAACAATGAATGATTACACTGTGGAAGTGTAAGCATAATTTAAGTATCTTACAAAAAGAAAGTTAAAAACAAGTTCAATACAATGTAAAATACCGCATTGCTTTATTTACCTTTTAGTTGAAGACTACAAACTATAAAACAACAATTTGAGCCCACTTACAACACCAATGACAGAATTAAGGCAGGGATGGCCTATACCGAGCTGCTGTATCGGGTTGCGCCACTTAGGCATTTCAGAAACATTTATTTCAGACCATAGGTTCGATTTCCGGTTGGCCTTGACTGTGTGTCCGGGTTTGCCAGCACCATGCCAGTGCTCATTGGTTTCAAAAAGGAGTAAACGCCTACAACCTGCACAGGCTCTCTCACCACATCAAGCTAACGCGCCTTGATATTCCTGAAATGCTGTTCCATGCAAAGTTCTCTGACAAACACAAACTGTCTTTTGACCTTAATCTCCTGATTCATCGTGGTACCAGTACTCCCCAACAATGTAACTGGTTCTGCTTAATTCGCGAGAGTAAGCTTTCAGATATACGAAAATTAGTCTCCCTCAAGTCACTAATGGCACAACAATTGTCTTATCTAGTACAAAGCTGTTCTTTTCTCAGCCCCAAGCTATAAGGACTCATTAAGAAATGTTTACTGACGATTTATTTCATTGATAAAATTTCACACCGTTAGGGTACTCCAAACCCAAAGATACAAATCAACAGAAACCGAAAACCGAGGTATTCAGACAATACACAATTATGTCTAGTTCACATATTTAGATGAGACCCGTGAAGATTCCGGGGAAGATTAGGTCTTCAGCAACCAATGCTTGCCGTAAAAGGCGACTATGCTTGTCGTAAAAGGCGACTGACGGGATCGGGTGGTCAGGCTCGCTGACTTGGTTTATGCATGTCATCGATCCCAATTGTGTGCATCGATGCTCATGATATTAATAACTGGATTGTCTGGTCCAGACTCGATTATTTACAGACCGCCGTCATATAGCTGGAATATTGCTGAGTGCGGCGTTAAACAACAAACCAACCAACCAACCAAAACATATTTAGATGACATATCCTCATCAAGTCTCAACAAGAGGTTCAGCAGACGCGTTGTCTGATTGTTTGGATGTGTCCTTGACTTCAGGCACACGGGACTGAGTGGTAAGCCGTCTCTTCCTCCGTACGACGCTGAAATATAGACCCCTGATGTTAACTTTCAAAATTTGATTTGTCATCGAAACAAGGTACAAACAGAATGTATGTTATAAACATCATCATGGTCATATTAAAATCATTCGCTTAAACTAAATGTTTACTTGCTCATGAGACTTAGATAAATGAGTTCATGTCACCATACAAATATTCGACGTCTGTATGAAGAATATTGATTTATTAGTTCGCACCTACATGTAAATACTGGTAAAATATCACTCTTATCACTCTGAAGTATACCCCATGTAAAGCAGTGTAGTGTTACTACATACCACACAATTACTATGGTAAGTGCTATGACGAGTATTCCTGCAACTGGGATCCCTATTTCGACGACAGGGAGCAACATAGGATCTGAAAGTGAAAGAGAAGGAAATAATAATATTATATTTATATATTTTTTAAAGTTTTAGTGCAATATTACGTCAATATCGATGTATGTAGGCGATGAGAGGAGGGGGATGTTGAACGTGCAATGCATATTCAGTGTTATTTTGGCTTCACATATGAAACATACATAATGTCATATATATCCTAAAGTATATAATTCACTGTACAACACCTGCCTGGATACTCCGAGTCGACCAGTCCTGGTCAGCCCATTAATGCCGAGCGCTAGTTAGGGTAACAACAAAAACGATCTTTTAACGTCTTTGGTATGACGCGGTCGGGGATCGAACCCCCGACCCTCTGGTCTCCAGGCAGGCGCTCTAGCCACTAGACCACGGAAGCGATCAGATGGTCTGTGTCATTGTACCCCGACGACGAGAGACGTTGCTTATAATATCAATCACTTTAGAAAACAAACACACATTTTCAACTGGGCCTGACTTCTCTTTGTAGACACGTTCATGTAAAGAAGAAATATGCTCAAGTGACACGTGACAGCAAATATGGATATATTTTACCCGGAACACTGTGTTCAGATGCTTCAGATTCTACCGGGGACTGGTGATCAATAGAAGACAAATGCATTCTAGCTGAAGAGTTTCCTGCACACTCTCCTGTCCTCCAGTGACACGAGCCCGGACACCTGGAACACTGCTTGTCACATTTCTTGCCGTACAGACCTTCACTGCATTCCTTCTTACAGGACACGTTGAATCTGTAGCACAAGCTGTCAGTGCATGTCGGTGGACATTTCTTGTTGCATCGGATACCATAAAACCCATCACGGCAGTCGTCACAAAGTCCACTTGGTTGACACAATCCGTCCTTGCATTCCGATGGACAGACTGTAGAATACAGTTATCCATAATACCCTGGCTCATTTAATGTGGATCGAAGCAAACATATTGACATGGATGGTAAATATCCTGTATTATTATATCCTGTATTAGGAAATACAGCCGCGTGATGACCTCTTTATCATTTCATTTTTGCAGTGTCATTTTTTATTTTTTTATTTTTAAAATTGTCCAAAATTTTGGCTTCACATATGAAACATACATAATGTCATATATATCCTAAAGTATATAATTCACTGTACAACACCTGCCTGGATACTCCGAGTCGACCAGTCCTGGTCAGCCCATTAATGCCGAGCGCTAGTTAGGGTAACAACAAAAACGATCTTTTAACGTCTTTGGTATGACGCGGTCGGGGATCGAACCCCCGACCCTCTGGTCTCCAGGCAGACGCTCTAGCCACTAGACCACGGAAGCGATCAGATGGTCTGTGTCATTGTACCCCGACGACGAGAGACGTTGCCTATAATATCAATCACTTTAGAGCATCTAAAACAACAAACACACATTTTCAACTGGGCCTGACTTCTCTTTGTAGACACGTTCATGTAAAGAAGAAATATGCTCAAGTGACACGTGACAGCAAATATGGATATATTTTACCCGGAACACTGTGTTCAGATGCTTCAGATTCTACCGGGGACTGGTGATCAATAGAAGACAAATGCATTCTAGCTGAAGAGTTTCCTGCACAGTCTCCTGTCCTCCAGTGACACGAGCCCGGACACCTGGAACACTGCTTGTCACATTTCTTGCCGTACAGACCTTCACTGCATTCCTTCTTACAGGACACGTTGAATCTGTAGCACAAGCTGTCAGTGCATGTCGGTGGACATTTCTTGTTGCATCGGATACCATAAAACCCATCACGGCACTCGTCACAAAGTCCATTTGGTTGACACAATCCGTCCTTGCATTCCGATGGACAGACTGTAGAATACAGTTATCCATAAAACCCTGGCTCATTTAATGTGGATCGAAGCAAACATATTGACATGGATGGTAAATATCCTGTATTATTATATCCTGTATTAGGAAATACAGCAGCGTGATGACCTCTTTATCATTTCATTTTTGCAGTGTCATTTTTTATTTTTTTATTTTTAAAATTGTCCAAAAAAGCGACAATACAATTTATTCATTAAGTAGCAATAAGTTTTAGTTACTTGCTTTGTCTCCTTTTGGTTATTTTTGTCTTGGTTTCGTAAGGGTGACAACGCGACAATGTTCCCAAGAGGATTCTATCAAGTATGTCTTATGGACATATAGTCGGACCATCTCCAGGACATTGCTGTCTGCGACATTTATATATAATATTACTCACTCACTTTGGAGCTCAAACTACTCAACTACGCTTGGTCTCCGTTATCTTTCCTTAACACATTAGATCTGCTTACCTTTACATTCAGCGCCAGGTAGGATGAACACAAAGCAAGACAGTAGCAGTCTACAGTTGAATCTTTCCGCCATGTTAACTGTCCTCAAGTGACTGTGTACTCCAACTGCGTAAGGACAGGTGACAGTATGTTCCTGCATGCGGTAGAAAGCAAATATGTCAACGGAAAAACAGTGCTTGTGGCAAAATATATTTATAATTATTTTTTATGTTTATGTTTTTAAAATAAAAAACCTGTTTTTCAATTTTGATTGATCTACAACCCGACGAAAAACAAGGAACGTCATTAACAAAAGGCTTTATTTATGTAATATGTTTAGATAAATAAAAGTTCTCTACAATTTCAATCAAACAATGTTATTGTAAAATGAAAACTACCACGGGATTTGTCGCTGTCCGTTATCTCCAACATTCTCTTTTCTTCATCACTGCTACACGGACCTACCTTATCCACGCCACACCTACCCATCCCTATGATACCCGCTAAATGGACCCATCCCATCCTCGCTCCACATACCATCCCCGCTCCACGAATCTACCTCATCCCCGCTCCATGGGCCTACCTGATACCCATTCCACGAACCCATCCCCGTCCCCGCTCCATGGGCCTACCTGATACCCATTCCACGAACCCATCCCCGTCCCCGCTCCATGGACCTACCTGATACCCATTCCACGAACCCATCCCCGTCCCCGCTCCATGGGCCTACCTGATACCCATTCCACGAACCCATCCCCGTCCCCGCTCCATGGACCTACCTGATACCCATTCCACGAACCCATCGCCATCCGCCCATTCCACGAACCCATCCCCGTCCCCGCTCCATGGGCCTACCTGATACCCATTCCACGAACCCATCCCCGTCCCCGCTCCATGGGCCTACCTGATACCCCATTCCACGATCCCATCGCCATCCGCCCATTCCACGAACCCATCCCCGTCCCCGCTCCATGGGCTTGCCTGATACCCATTCCACGAACCCATCGCCATCCGCCCATTCCACAAACCCATCCCGATCCACGCTCCATGGGCCTACTTGATACCCATTCCACGAACCCATCGCCATCCCCGCTCCATGGACCTACCTGATACCCATTCCACGAACCCATCCCCGTCCCCGCTCCATGGACCTACCTGATACCCATTCCACGAACCCATCGCCATCCGCCCATTCCACAAACCCATCCCCATCCACGCTCCATGGGCCTACTTGATACCCATTCCACGAACCCATCGCCATCCCCGCTCCATGGACCTACCTGATACCCATTCCACGAACCCATCCCCGTCCCCGCTCCATGGACCTACATAATACCAATTCCACGAACCCATCCCCATCCGCCCATTCCACAAACCCATCCCCATCCACGCCCCATGGACCTAACTAACACGCATTCCACACACCAATCTCCATCCCCCTCCACGAATCTACCCCCACCCCGCTCCACGTACACATCCCCATCCCCGCTCCACGTACCCATCCTCATCCCCACACCACGAACCTATCCCCATCCCAATCCCCATCCCCTACCCACGTGCCTATCCCCATCCCCATCCCCGCTTTACGAACCCATCGCCGTTCCACGTACACATCCCCATCCCCGCTCCACGTAACAATCCCAACTCCACGAACCTATCCCCATCCCCGCTCCACATCCCAATCCCCATCCCCTACCCACGTGACTATCCCCATCCCCGCTATACGAACCCATCGCCGTTCCACGAACTCATCCCCATCCCCGCTCCACATCCGAATCCCCACCCCTACCCAAGTACCTACCCCCCATCCCCGCTATACGAACCCATCGCCGTTCCACGAACCCATCCCCATCCCCGCTCCACATCCGAATCCCCATCCCCTACCCACGTACCTATCCCCATCCCCGCTATACGAACCCATCGCCGTTCCACGAACCAATCCCCATCCCCTACCCACGTACCTATCCCCATCCCCGCTATACGAACCCATCGCCGTTCCACGAACACATCCCAATCCCCATCCCCTACCCACGTACCTATCCCCCATCCCCGCTATACGAACCCATCGCCGCTCCACGTAACCATCTCCATCTCCGCCCCACATCCCAATCCCCATCCCCTACCCAAGTACCAATCTCCATCCCCTGTCCACGGACTTACTTAATCCCTGCTCACATACCCATTCCTATACCCATACCCATCACTGCTCCACGTATCTACCTCATCCCCGCTCCACATACCCATCCCCTTCCCACGTACCTATCCCAATCCCCGCTATACGTACCTATCCCCATCCCCGCTCAGCATACCCATCCCCGCCCCACGTGTCTATCCCCATCCCCGCCCCCTGTACCTATCCCCATGCCCGCCCCACGTACCCATCCCCATCCCAGCCCCATGTACCTATCCCCATAATAATTCATGTTTAAAATATACAATATTAAAAAAATAAAAGTTCTAAAAAAGAATACCGCTAAAAAAGAGGTGTTTACATAAAGAAAGCCCACTCTTACTCATATTTAGAAGAGTCCTTGATGACATTAGTTGAATACAATTATTTTTCATTGAATTAATTAATTGATCCTTTTTGTTTAGACTTTTAAAATGTAGAATATTATTACTTGCTTCAAAAAAATAATTCTTCTTTCAAATCAGAATAAAAGAGAGAACCAATTGAAAATCTTCAACAACCAATCTTCAACAGTGAGAATGTTTAAAGAGATAAAATAAATGTGTACAAATCCTATCTGTTGAAAGGGTTGGTGGTTTATTAAAACGACCTGTTTCCACTGCAAGAGGCAGGGAACAACATCTTAACATTGCTGAAGCTGGTCTCTAAAAACAATATTCAATGCATAACGTCCAATGGCATTAAAAGATTTAAACTGTCTTTGTGTTCTTAAGTTGTTGCCATTTGCTGAATTTATCATCCCATAAATCCTTTTTCCAGTTATTAACATAAATATGAAGGCGTTGTTTAATAAAATTTCTATTTTCGCTTTTGTAAATCTTGAATATAAAATATTTTCAACAGTGTAGCTGATTGCTAATTTGTCTATTCTCCTGGCCCAAGATTTACATTTTTGTCAAGACCATATGATGAATGTTGTTTAAATTGTCTAAAACATTAGTATGTATTTTAACAATTTGTGAGGTAAGCCCCATCAACAGCATGATTGGAAGTGGTGTCACGTACACCCAGAAAACACGACATGATCTGTTTTGTAAGATATTAACTTGCATACATGTGTTTAAATTGATTGTTTGTTGTTTAACGCCGCACTCGGCAACATTCCAGCTATATGACGGCGGTCTGTAAATAATCGAGTCTGGACCAGACAATCCAGTGATTGATATACCCCCATATTGATGATCCATAAAACGTGACTGGTTCAACCAGATAATAGAGTTCTCTAACAGTGTTTCTCATATCTAAGAATTCATTGAACCATAAGCCAAGATATCTATAACATTTAACATATAGTTATGTGACATCACCGCAATATCGCCATCCCCGCTCAACGAACCCTACCCTCTTCTCGAGGCAAGGGAGTTAACTGACTGTGAAAGTCCCTTACCCTGGGTAGATGCCCCTGTCTCCGGGGACCTACATGGACCCCAGCCCCGCTCCACGTACCCATCCCATGCTGTACACACTTGAGGATAAAGGACAGTCCGACATAACCTTCAATAGAAGGGCATATACCTGAGTGACATTTGAGTGGCCGGACTCGATCCATACTGTGTTGCTTCCCCGAGATAGTAGGATTTGCTGGCGTACGTTTCTAGATGCGGTCGTAAAATCGTCGTTTAATCATAATTATCAGATCTGTTATTTCGCTTTTTTGTTGGACATCACTTGTAAATACAGTTCGTATCAACTTTCGGTTATGGTTCAAAGAAGTAATTCGTACTTTCTGTTTGATAGACAGGGCATGTACTCAAACTGGTGTATTGCTCAACACTAGAAATTACCTGAAATGCTATACAGCCATCTGGGTCACACTGACCTTTCTCTTGCTCCAAAGTGCTCGGGACAAAAGCCTTATCTCAGTTGGTGTTTACGTCCCACAATTATAACGCAGATTTACCAGAGACGTTTAGATGTGCGTTTACAGGAACTACCTAAACAACGTAAACAAAAAGTAGAATTATATTTACTGGTAATGTTCTGTCACGTGACACTTATCACTATTTTTACATTTGGAGGTGGTGCATGATTCTGAATGACGTAATTCAAGCCGAAATTTGCGTATGCGGAAATGACAATTACTGTTATGGTTGTCAGTGTGTTGTCTGCTGCTATTGTGCAGTCATTAACTGGGGGAGGGGCAAGACTTTGGGTACAATGCTTCACGATTCACGACCTCCACAGTATACAAGCTCCTCGCAGCGATAGCATTGACGCTGAGTTCTGTATACTATCGCGGTAATCAGTCTCACCTCGCAGCTAGGACAGGCCCAAGAAGCAGGTATATATATATACATACACACACACACACACACACACACACACACACACACACACACACACACACATATATATATATATATATATATATATATATATATATATATATATATATATATATATAATTATATATATATATATATATGTATGTACAAAAGCGACAAAACCCTTTTCACAATGGGGAAGTGGGAACTTGTACAGTGTACACAGTCTGCTATATCCCCCTCTATCGTTATTACGTTATTATCGTTGGGGGGGGGTATGCACAGTCGTCTGAGGCGCCGCGATTCTCTGTGCATCCCGAGACACCCCCCACCCACCCCCCACTTCCCCCCCACCCCCAACACACACACACACATAACTTTAGTGACTCACCCTCATTAGCTATGGCACCCCCTAATCTGAATCCCCGTATATGACAAAGGACCAGTCCCTTATTTCATTTTATTTGTTTGTTTGTTGTTTGTTTCATTTTAGCCTCTATAAAAATGGGTGTTAACTATTTTGTGCCCCTCGGTTTAGGGGACCAGGAACTGTTATGTTAGTTAATGTAATTGGCTGCCATTTTACCGATGCCAGTACCCCTTAAACTCTGTACTATATGTGTATGTAGCTTTTGACTTTATGAATGTGTCATGCGGCATCTCAGCGTATGGGGTTATATTTCCTTACTGCAACTCTTCATTTTACACACAACGATAAAAGATAAGCGCAGGCCAGGTATGTTTCTTGTTCAAATCGCATCAGATTCCCAATCCTTCTGATATTAAGCTTTCAAAATAATATTTCTCTGGAGCTAACACGTTTGAACACAAACATGATTTTCCAGTGCATTTATTGATCATAAATTTGTAAACTGGTAAGCCCCTTGATGGATAATATTCCCAACAACATTAGATCATGAAACACGTGTCAGTGGTTCGATATCTTGTGACTGAATCACAGCTGTCACCCTCCATCTCATCGCTCGTGCACATACAATGCGTGCAAAATTGTTCGACCAATTTGCTCAGAGAAAAGTGCTGAAATTTCAAGAAATATTCTTACACGCATATTTGGGGTGAAATGAAAGATATTTTCCAGATATTCTTTAGAATCCCTCTTACAATGTTTACACATATTCATTCATCGTCCCAGCGTGTTGTGCTGAGTTTAAAAAAAGTTGAAAACAACATGCAGTATTTCATGTCATTCACGTAGTAACTGACACACTCAACTGGTTTCTTGCTATGATGTACATACATGTATACATGTATATATAATGCGCCAAATCAACACCCTTAACATGCCCACAGCGCCACATGATAACGCGAAAAGTTGGCGGGGGATATAGAAACGGGCTCCGTCCGTCCGTCCGTCCGTCACGTTTCGTTTCCGGAGCATAACTCAGAAACCGTTCAATATTTGTTCATGAGACTTTGCAGGTCTGTCAAATACATGCTGAACTTGTGCCTTTTGCTATTTAGAAAATTTCAGAAATTCCATTTTTTACGTTTCCATGGCAACAAGATGGACTTAGGTTCTGTGAGGGTAGGGTTCGTTTCCGGAGCATAACTCATAAACCGTTCAATATTGTTTCATGAAACTTTGCAGGTTTGTCAGGTACATGCTGCACTGGTGTCTTTTGCTATTTCGAAATTTTAGAAATTTTTAATTTTTACGTTTCCATGGCAACAAGATGGACTTAGGTTCCAAACTCTTCTTTTTTTACAATTTCCATGACCAGTTCCACCTCGGTTAAAAAAGGTTAGGGTTTGTTTAGATTTAATTATGTCATAAATTCTGCAACAGGGGCGGGGGATATAGCCTCGTTAGTGGCAAACTCTTGTTGTATTTCATACTGAGCAGGGGCGGTCGGGTAGCCTAGTGGTTAAAGCGTTCGCTCGTCACGCCGAAGACCCGGGTTCGATTCCCGACATGGGTACAATATGTGAAGCCCATTTCTGGTGTCCCCCGCCGTGGTATTGCTGGAATATTGCTAAAAGCGGCGTAAAACCATACTCACTCACTCACTCATACTGTCCACTGCCATCATGTTATATACTGTCATTGAAAATTGTATTACTGCGATATTGTGTATTGCCATTGTAATTGCTGTGCAGTAATTTGTGTTGATTTGTAAACCTGGTTAATTTTGTAGTACATTTGTTGATTGTATACCACTTGGTTCTTTGTTTGTTTCACACTAAGTTTCCTTTTCGTACAGATTTCTGTGTTGACATATTGTTTCAATTTAACACCGTGAAAGTGTGTGTAAAAATATGACACAGCGAAAGTAGGAGGGGTGGCAAAATTCGTGGTCGTAAGACAAATCTCACCAACCCACCCCACATCGTGTAAGGCGCCGCGATTCGCTGTGCAGAGTTGCGTCCCTTGGGCACGCCAGAAACCTATTATTGTGGGTTCGAATCCCGGTTCGCCCCGATTATGTTTTTTGGTTTGTCAGCACCATACCCGTGCTCGTGGGTTTCACCGAAGTGGTAAACGTCTGAGACCTGCATCATTTCGGGCTTCCCTCCCACATTAAGCTGACACCCAACCCACAAACCAAAATCACATAGAAATCGGCTAGTCCCTTAGCAATAGTGCAGCCATATACCGATCATTATAGAGCCCCAACAAAATGCTGACCGAAGTGAAATAAATGAAATACTGCAACACACTAACTCTGTTTACGACTCGTTTCGTGTCATACTAATCTCTGCAATTGTCAACCATAAGACACAACATCAATATAATCACAATACAATTTATTGTTTTGATTCCCGGTCATTAAGGGATAACCACATGACTTTAAACCATACATTGCGCACCGATTATATATAGCTCCTTTCTTGATCTCCAAAATCAGTGTTGTCAATGGTAATGCTATTCCTCGGCGATGTGGCAACGTTTTCAGTGGCCGGAGTTGCCGATCTCATCTTGAATGTTAACAACCCCATTTCGGCGTGAGGTAGCTTTTAAGCCATTAGTAAGCCTTTGATTAGGGTGGACTTAGTGATCCATGGGACAAAACCAGTAAAAACAAACGGTATCGATCCACAGCAACAGTGATGCAAGATGACACCGCCCCTTAACGATGGATTTCTCTGCACAAGCTTGTCCGCAGCATTGAACATCATTTCGTGTAGCGCTGGAAGTAGTTCTACTGAATGTAGCTCCATATGATGCCGATTTATAGCCCAGCTCACTGAGATACCTTGCCGCAGTTTAACCTGAAAACCCCACTCAGACACAGCATACTGACTCCGAGCCGACCAGTCCTTATTTTAGCCCCTTCACGTCGAGCGCCAGACAGGTACCATCTTCTAACGTCTTTTGGTATGACGCGGCCGGGGATCGACCCCAGGAAGGTCCGGGCGGTTGACTGACACTGTCCAGGCTTCGGAAAAAGTGCAAAATTGAATTGACCTAGCAATGTAAATATTAATATGAAATCAGCATGTATTTCTTATCAAATGACATTTAAAAGCGAGACAATACAGTTGTCCAACCTAAGGTTTACGAAGAATTCCTAAATACGATTCCAAATTAGTTTGTGCTATGGACCTCAAGTGAGATTTTATTATGACATTAAATCCCCTTGTTGAAGAGAAACCAGAACGGTCCAATGCTGTTGACAATACTTATATGTGGAATGAGAACGTTTGGCAAGATGATGATAAACACAGAATCATGGCGATAGCAGCGAGTGTTTCCGAAGCTAACGTGACCGTTACATCGAAAGAATGAATATTCAACTTTTGAGTAACTGAGTTGGAAACTGACGTTAATGTATATGTCAACAAACCACATCTGTCAAATAATGAAGCACATAATTATTACATAAACTTTATGGACACACAAAATCCCACACGTCATGACGCATGAAGAGTTGCGTCCCTTAGACGTGCCAGGATCCGATTATATGGTGATTTAATCATAGATGCGCCCTCATTATACACTATCATTGTTTTGCAGCATTATACCCGTGCTCGCGTCTTTCTCAAAAGTTGAAAAAGCCTGCATCGCTTGGCCTTTCCTCCAATCTTAAACTGACACGTCGACGCATAATAGAAATACTAGTACTGTTCACAATGACGTTATACCCAACTTATTCACTTCCTCGCCATGCTATGAGAGGTGGACCGCCTCCGTGGTCTAATGGTCGAGCGTCCGCCCGGAGAGCGGAAGGTCCGGGGTTCGATCCCCAGCCGCGTCCTACCAAAAGACGTTAAAAGATGGTACTTGTTGTTACCCTGTCTGGCGCTCGGCATTAAGGGGCTAAAACAAGGACTGGTCGGCTCGGAGTCAGTATACTGTGTCTGAGTGGGGTATTCATGTTAAACTGCGGCATGGTATCTCAGTGTGCTAGCACTATAAATCGGCATCAGTCTGGACTAGTGCAAGCAGCCACACACACACACATACACGTGCATGCACGTCGCTATATAAGTGCAATAATCTATGACGCGACGTTAAACCCCATTTCACCTCACCTCACCTATGAGAGGTGGGTTACATGTTCTGCTTTTAAGCTAGCAAAGGTAAGGATACCAATTTAAAGTGAAATTGTTGTGTTGAAAAGGCATGAAATCTTTGATCTCAATAAACCCACCAACACTGCACTGGCTGAGAAAAACGACTCCCACGTTGTATAAAGCCAACAAAGATGATTCTAGACAGTAAACTACGTTTATAACGAACACGCTTATAACGAACTTACCGATATAACGAACTTACTTTTTATTCCCGGCCATATGTTGTATATATGCTGTATACGTGCTTATAACGAACTACGGTTATTAGGAACTAACATTAGTGGTCCCTTTGAGTTCGTTTTAACCGTAGTTTACTGTACTGTATATTGTGGGGGTCTACATTAAATACTGATCGTGTTGTTGGAAATCGTATTAGTATTTCTAAGCCCTACATCATAAATTTCAATTTATGACCTCGGCCAGCAAAGGGAATGCGTTCGGTTTTGTTTTATTATCAACTGACGCATTTTAAATGTGCAGCAACTGGCCACTTCCAATGTACCAGTGATGTTTAAGATGTCATTACCGACTGAATGGCACTCAATGTAGCACTACGGAAATCCCTTAGAAGAATGGGTTGACATAACTGTATCCATCTGTATCTTGTACTCACACGGCAAAAAATGTGTTTGTCATACGCCATTGTTTTTGGAAAGCTGGTCACATGTGGATTCATCGAGACAAGATACGTTAATATTAAAAGGGTGAATATGACGAGGCAGGAACGTTCGCCATAATTATTCTATTTCATGATAATGCTTCATGTAAAATTTCTCCACATAGACGTTCATGTATAACAGAAGTGATGCAGCAGTATATTAAAATTCCATTTTCCACCGGTTTTTATTCATGTACATTGTATGCATTTTGCCAAATACAAAGGGGCGTGCAGAATTGACTTTATTTGTGGATGGACATACAAACTATTTCCATAGAGTTGGTTGGTTGTTTTACGCCGCACTCAGCAACATTCCAGCTATATGACGGCGGTCTGTAAACAATCGAGGGTGGACCAGACAATTGTTTGGATCGATGACATGCATCAACCAAGCCAGCAAGCCTGACCACCCGATCTTGTTAGTCGCCTCTTACGACAAGCATAGTCGCCTTTTACGGCAAGCATGGGTTGCTGATCAAGACATCAAGACAAATTCCAAATATAACAACATTTTATTGCAAAGATGTATTCAGATACGTACACAGCCTTTTGTCTTTCCTTCAAGGAGCATGTACATGCGTATAGCATGTGTTACCGAGGTGATGTCATCCTTGACAAGTCTTAACAAAGAGCCTTAATGCTTTAACAGTAACTGTTGTACCAAAGTTAAAAATATCACGTGGAGGTGAATGTGCGATCTCACTGCCGAAATACTGCAGTTGGAGGACCAACAGTCCGGCGAATTAATTGGACACTCCCGATCTTTCTTGAGCTTTGAGACTCGAGGCTTCATGTCTTCAATTCCGTCTGAAACAGCAAATGCCTTAAACTGTAGACACCCTTTACAAACCCTTTGTCTAAGTGAAATACAAGTTTCGATAATGTTTTGAACAGGAACATATTACAGCTTCACAATTGTACATGCAGTCCACCTGCGGAGGAAATATGAAACCATCATAACACACTGTCAAAAAGACCGTCAAAGACTGTCTGTGTTTCATTTTCTGGATGTTCATATGTTTTCAGGATAATACTTAATACATCTTAGCAACGACGGGAAAGAAAGAAAAGATTAACCGAGAGGAGAGTATGAAATGCAAAACAAAGGGGCCATCAATTACATCCACATTGTGATCATTAGATTCGTGTGTGCAGATGTTTGAGTGACGATGGCGTATTGCACCTGTATAACAGGCTGACCTACTTGGCTGCATTGAAGTGACAAATACGAAAGAAAGAAATGAACGAAAGAATCACCCTTCATCACTGTAATCCCGTGTGTGTGGCAGTATCGACAAAAGCGATTATTGTCTGTTCTATCAGCTATGCATGTGACAATAATCGCAAAATATATCAAATGTTTCAAATGAATATCTTCATCTCACAAGGTAGACATAATTCTTTAATGCTGTACAGGCAACGTTTCGGTATAGATCCTTATACCGTTGTCAAACACGGCTGAATGAGGACTTACTTACTTACTTACTTTGGAGATTTAACGTGCGCTTTCCGACTGATGCGTATTTCGCACACGGGCCCGGCCAGGCCATTTAATGTGTTTCCGAAAGGGGCGAAGGTGGTCTGTGCAACCCAAGAGGGGGGTTTTAGGGGTTGCTTATATAGAAATTGGGAATTTTGAGATTTGGAATAGATGCCGATGGGATTGGGGAGGAGAACTATGGGAGCTGGGTATGGTGGATGTTTGTTTGTTTATGTGATTTTGATTTGGTAGGTTATTATGAATGAGGAACATTGTACAGAATATATATAGTAGGTGGAGGATTAACAATAACAACAATTGCATACATGAGTGAGATGATTGGATGAAATAGCCTTGATCTCTGCTGATTGATGGCTTGTGGCGGCGAATGTGGACTGCTTCTGTTAGTTTTCTATCAATCAGCCAAGGTGAGCGTATCACAAATACATGCAAAGGCAACCTGAACAAACTGGTAACCTGAACAAACGGACGATAAAAATAGGGAATTGCATCGGACATCATGTATGTCCCTGATGCGTCAAATTTGGAAATCTTTTGAAAGTTTTCGTTTTAAGTTTAAATGGGTGTCGAATGTAACATGTTATGACACTGAATATACAGTCCCCAACTTAATAACATTCTTCCAAAAGGTCTGACCTTATTCAGAAAAAATACATGAATGAACCGCTATCAAATAATGATGTCCGCGAAAACATGAGGGTGTCGTGCCTACCAGTGACTCTCGTCACAAACAAGATAGTAAGGAAAGTGTTCACCCGAACAAACACGGGACCATATGGTACAATGTACAAGACAAAAAAAGGAACTGGATTCGAAATCATTATAGTCACTTATGGGTCAAATTTGGAAATATACTCCACATGTCAACCATAAATCATTTGAAAGCTCTACTGGGGCCTTGAATTTGTATTACAGTTATAATCGTTTAACAAATTATCTTAACAGTGTTTAAAAAAAAAGTGTGCATGTTTCATCTTACCTTTTTCACAGTTGGGTCCGGTGTGTTTAGGTAGACAGCTACATATGTAGCGCTCATTTTGTGACTGGCACGTTCCCCCATTTAGACAAGGATTCTTCCTGCATGGATCTATGTTTTCTGAAACAAATAGCAGTGTGCGTGAGGGAAACGGCAGGCATAAGATCACTTTTCCCCAATTGTCTCTTTTAGTCTTTGCTTAGCTCACCAGATCCTAGACAAGTAGATAATCTTATCAAGTAAGCTATCACGTTTGTGTTTTGCATACCATAATTTCAACAGGAATCAATGAATTTTCACCAAAATTATTGAAAATTAGGATAGTTACTGATGAAATCCAGACCCCGTTCAATAGCCAACATACCAGACCAAAATATGTAAGACAACCTGACTTGCCTAATCTCGGCTACATTGTACTGGTTTTTTTTAATGAAACATTATGCAATTTGACCAGATGTCAGTTTTAGATACTTTTAGTAATAAGGTAAAAAAAAAGACAAGTTCAATGAACAATCAAATCGTATCGTTAATTTGGACAGAGGTCACGCACAAATGTGTCTTTTTTATAACATGTGGAGATCATAAGTGTAATTATAGCGGTCATAAGCACTGGAGGGAATTCTTGTTCGAACATTTTGTTCTATTCATTTCTGTGACACAAGGCAAAATCCTGGCCACATTCGCGATTCGACACTGAAAAGTGTCCTTTTTTATTTTAATATGAATCTGCCATAAATAATACAAATTACATGAATCAGACCCTGGCAATAGTTTGTTTGTCGTGTGATCATGCAACATGTGTTGACGACAAAGCTGTGTTGTCCCACGTATGGTTGCCAAATACTCCACAGGGATCACATACCCAAACAAAAACCCGTCATGCGTCGCACTTTCGTCAAGTGTAAGATCACAACCGTGTCGCATTGCCTCATCTCGAATTGGAATTTCTTATAGCATTTCTTTCTGCCAGTCGTTATGCACATCGAAACGTATTCACCAACCAGACCTTATTATGGGAGAAAAATTACGTTATATTTTCAGCAGACAGCAATACCAAACAGTAATATATGGGTGAACCATTATCGAATTAGCATTGTAATGGTTAGACTCTCATATTGCATCCCTTCCTGTCAGTCCTTTTGCTCAACGTGTTTGACCCTCACTCTATGGTCTTATTTCAAATGTACGACAAATACTGATGTAATCAGTTGTGTTATAATAAACAATGCTTCTCAACTTGTTATTGCTTTTGAAAGTATAGGTCTCCTAGAGTACCTTATTTTCTAAATTATGTTTCTTCAGCAATAAGTGTGAAGAAATACGATTTACGATTTAAGAATAGATTTTGCAACTGCATTATCGATGTATTCTGCGCGCATGTTTGTTTGTCAAAGTCTTTGTCAATGTGAGGGTATTGTGAATAAACTAGTAGAGGTCTGTGCTCACCACGCAGAGAAGGGTTCCACGTAAGGCTGTACATGGACAGTGCCAACGTACCTGATTTCCACAAGGGGTAACGTGTTCCACAGGAACGGGTTTTAGGTGCTGATTCTAGCAGTTTCCACTTGGTTGGTATTCCATACCAACCTGGGGTTAGTTTACTATCATCAATGCCTGGTGCAGCATATGTAAATGTTGACTGGCGTTGGTCAAGTTTTTGAAAAAGTGTAAAATTTGAACATGGATCTGAAACTAATAAATTCTGATTAGACATTAGACACTACAATATTTGTAAATGTTCAAAATCCAAGAATGTATTAATGCTTCCAAGCTTTCGGTTCATACAATCACTTAAATATTTTAAAAATAGTATGGACTATGCATATGTAGATTGTAATTTTAAATACATAGCAAGAAACATTAATTCATCTTTACCGGAGCTCTCGACAGCTATTACTGCCAGAAGAAGGAGAAACAGGCTGGCACTCATTGCCTGAAATACAATATGCTGCAAACTGACACTTAACAGTAACCAATTCGGACATAAATGCATACAAACTGAAAACAAAACACGAAGAATTCAAAACGTTAACGCTAGAGAATCGTCAATTCTCGAATATCTGTTGAAACAGATTTCATGGCGGATAAAGAGGAAAGTTGAGGATGAAAAGTATATGAATGGATCATTGTAAAGCACTGATGATGCCAGGTATCCGCCTATGAGTAAGCTTGTCTTGTTGTACCTGCAGCATCGGCCACTCACATTAGTATGTGTACCAGTGAGGTACACCGTAAAGGTCAAAACATTGGTTGGCATCACGCATCATGGTCACAAGCGGCATATCACATTCAGTAAATACCTCTGCATGTCTACCATAAACTTTTAGGAATGACTTATCCATGCCTTTGATGACGAAAACTTTATTGAAAAATAATTAGTTGTAAATATATATTGTAATATATGTCTTTCTATGAAATAAACTATAAACTGTAAATAAATCGAAGTTCCCCTCTTGTCGTACAGCTTAGAACAAAGGCGGGACGATCCAGCTATGACACTGAACTAAAATGTCAGTTGTTTCTGTAAGCAAAGGCAGTCTGACAATGAAAACCTACCAGATAGTTGATCTTTATTCAACCTTTTTTTCAATCTTGTAAACGAAGTTTCGGCAGATGATGACTTTGATATATATACTCTTCGTGAAGTAAACATTGACGAAAAGAACTATTCTTAATTCAGCTATAACAAGAGGTGAAATCCCACCAAACCCCTAAAATATCAGACCTGTCACCTTGATGAGCTGTTTTGTATATTTTTTACAGTAGTCTTAAATAAGCATTTGCAAACTCATCAAAACTAACTCTTTACTGTTGGAAGGTCAGGCAGGTTTCAGAAAGGGTTTTCCCACCAGTGATCACATGTTCGCTCTATATAACCTCATTGAATTATTAAATCCTAGGAACAAGAATGTATTTTGTGCATTGGAGATTTTCAAAAAGCATTTGATACAGTTTGGCGATCAAGACTTTGGCAAACACGATTACAAAATAGCATATCATGAAACTGTTTTAACGTTATTTATAATATATGTACCAGAATATCAAATATGTGTTTCCTGTTATGGTAATTTAACAAGTTTCTTTTCATGTAAATTTGAAGTAAGACAAGGAGAAAACCAGTCGCCTGTCTTGTTTGCAAATGTTTTAATGACCTTGAAGCGGCACTTTTACATTCGTGTAAAGGTGTCAAATTGAAAGCAGATGAATTCTGTGATCGAAACGAAAATAGAATTACAATATTTGTATTACTGTACGCAGATGATGCAGTTTTAGGCCACAAATGCTTATGATCTGAAACATAAATTAAACTCATTTCATACTTATTGTATACAGTGGAGGCTTTAGGTTAATACTACCATACCTACAATATAATTATATGGTGGATAAAAAAATGATTTCTAACATAATTTAAAAATTGGTCATGATGTTTTGGAAAAGGCTGATTCCTGTAACTAACATGGTGTTACCTTTAAAAATAAAATAAAAATTCACTTTAACGAAGAAAGAAAAATAATTGTTTGATGACAAGGACGGAAATTACATTTATCACATAAATGTCAACTGCGGCTTTTTGACAGTGTCCTTTTACGAGTTCTTTTCTACGGATGCGAAGTATGGGGATTTGAAAACATCTCAACTCTAGAAGGTGTCTATCTACGTTTTCTAAAATATCTTTTATCATTAAGAAAAAGTACTCCAAATTTCATGTTACATGGGGAACGTGGAACTCACCATCTATCAAAAATTGCTGAAATGGGAATGGTATGTTTTGGGGCAAAATTACTCTCCGGGAAATCATCTAAATTATCCTTTCTTGTTAACACGTTATTAATTAATGACGACCTATTTGGAAAATGTAAATATAAACGCATTACATATATCAAACGAACGTTTTACGAACTTGGACTTAGCCATACCTGGTTATCACAAAGTTTAAAAAAACCCTACTTATTTAAAACATGTAGTCCATAAACAAATAAATGACAATAATCTACAGTGTTGGACAAGTGCAAGAGATAAGTCTTCAAAAGGTACAATGTATAGTATCATAAAAAGGATTGCCTAATTTTTAAAATATTACTTTACCGTAGTGCATGAAAACGTTTGGCGAGTCTTACTTCAGTTTAGTTCTTGTAACCATTATCTACGTATTGAAACTGGGAGATGAAGAAAAATGCCTTTAACTGACACTGGTATACATGGGTAAATATTTAGGTGTAGCTGGCATAATACTTACTGACTGCTGATGGAGATGGGTTGATGACAATGTGTTGTCCGTATGTAAACGTGTCTCGCACATGCTGATGGTGATATTAGCAGGTGTGCAATAACTGAAAAAGAAACTGAAGAAAATCGAAAAGTTTGCATGAGTAACGAACCGTCCGGGAAGAGCTGTTGGTAAACATGTCAAAGTGTTTCAGGAGTGTTATTGGACAATAATATCTATTATCTTCAATATCTATTCTGTTGTCATCTCCCGATTTTCTATGTGTATTTTCACAACCAGCAGGAACTCAAGCTGTTTTAGCTTAAACTAGTTTTCCATGTAAAAATTTGTTAAAAGTCATTATGATTGAACGATAGGGTCATATATCAACAAATATTCACAATTTATTAAGGAGCAGTTTGACGAGTATGGAAGACTCCCCTGTTAAATCAGCCCTGTCAAATTGATATAAAATAATCAAGTATAATCAAGAAGGTAGAGAGTGATTCGACCCAGACAAAATGTTGGTGAGATTACTCGTTATATTTTCCTGCTGCTAAACTACAATCATATCATCATATGTATAGGATCCCGGGGATGTTATCGTCCCACTAGGAACTGGTAATTTATAAAAGTGGATGGGTATGTGGCGGGGGGATTGGTCGTGGGGCTGGTAACATTCACTTTCTCCTCCCCACCCCACCCCCATCGTATGTGAAATCTTTTCATGTTCTACCCCAAATACATGAAACATATTTTCATGCACAGACTATTGACAGCACCTCCAGAGCCAGTCGATAACGCTAATCCAGTTTGCCAATCTTTGGTTGACATTTGGAACAATATTCCCTAGACTGTGTCGAATTATCTGGTGGCTACAATGCCGCAGCCTCGCCTGTACAAACGCCAATGGTTGTCACATCCGATATGGATATTGTTGATTGAGTTGTTACACCACCCCTGTTTCAGGTCGTGTCTCTCTGTCTCCTATTACCCGGTATAGGGTTTGTCAATGGATTTGTGATGTTTATACATTGATCAGACAAGATGACCAAATATTATGTTGGTATTTTCAACCATTTCTTGCTTTGCTTTGTCCCGTTAGTATAAAATTCAGATTGTTTGCAAAATTCCAACATGTTCAATAATTTTCCTTTGATCCTGCAGTTTGGCGCATGTGTTGCCAAGTCGTCCAAGGTTCCCAAATTCGCTGTGAAACCATTAGACGTGCCAGAAACGTTTGAGCGTTGTTTGGAGATCCGGGTAATGTTTCTTGGTTACTGAGCACCATGCATTCGCGTGTAGGTTTCACCGGTGATGCCCAACTATGATATTACTTGAATATTGCTAAAAGCGGCGTAAAACCTCACCCACTCACTCACCAGTGATAAACGTCTAACCCTGACATTTTTTTCCTGAGATGACACGCAGTAATATAAGTGAAATACTGTTCACCAACAGCGTTAAACCAAACTCATTTACTTACTTTATCTTGGAACAAAGGTGAGAAGACACACGGACAGCAATAATTCTTAAAGTAAATCCACACGCAAAAGCATGTTCATAGCGCTATGTTATTACCCCGGTAAATTGATCAGTGTGCACTCGAGTTTCATTCTCAGCTTTGGGGAATATACAACCCAAACGGTCTTCTATGTGCTCGAAGGTTGACACTCACAATCTCATCTTATCGGCTACCCAGTCACTGCGCATGCTGAGCAAAGACTGGCATATTTCGAATATAATCGTTCGCCTTCGGGTCCTTCAATGTGGGGAAGGATCGAATACCAGTATTTAGAACCTGGGATCAAACTTCCGCCACCCTCACAACTTTTCTCAACGGCCAATGTTACCTTCTTACCTTCACCCGATTTGTGATCTGAGCGCACTACACGGTACCATGTCCGTGCAGTTCGGGCAAGGGGTAATGGATATGTCATGAAATATCTTTGAGATGTGTGTGCTTGAATGTACAACCCAAATGATAGACAAGGAACACGACGCTCCTCTGTGTAACTCGCGCATTGTTGTGAACTCATGAACTGTTCGTTATTTCAGAAAAATAGGAATATTCGCCTGGGTAGTTTCTTCATTCCAATATATATATTTGTGTGCACAATAAAACTACATGTGTTGCACCGATATATGTGCAAATTATCATGTGCAGGGATGCGGTTCATAAGACAGAATATTTCAGTGCGTTTATCTTTCAAGCATTCTGTTCAACATTGCTATTCTGCGTGTATTTTGTCTAGACACGATATAAGACCAACATTTCCTGTCTTGATTCTCTGTTTTAGTGAGTGAGTGAGTGAGTTGGGTTTATCGCCGGTTTTTAACATAATTGCAGTTATATCGCGGCGTGTCAGCTTAATGTGGGAAGAAAGCCCGAAGTGATGCAGGTCTCAGACGTTTACCACTTCGGTGAAACCCTCGAGCACGGGTATGATGCTGACAAACCTAGAAACATAATCGGGGCGAACCGGAATTCGAACCCACAATCATAGGTGTCTGGCGTGCCCAAGGGGCGCACCTCTGCACAGCGAATCGAAGTGACCTTCACACAAAAGTATATAAAAGCCACATATTCAAGGACTTGCTCAAGACTTAATACTCAAAACTTCCGCCGTCTTGTGTATAGTGTATATTGAGTCACACCACGGTAACATCTATTGAAGATGTAACAGTTTGCACAATGCGAACATGATATAAAGTATCACCATACCCGAAACGAAATCAATTTACACATAGCCCTTATATATATTTGAGTGATGTACGGGCACGTTCTACTGACACATCAATAGACAAAACAGATAAAACACTCACAGTGTATTACTGTGAAAAGAGGATCCGAACAATATACTATGTTTCCAGAACAGTTTTTACCTCAGAAGTTTTGTGCGTCGTCCATCTTTTCTCGTAAACATCTCCTCCCTTAAAACACTGAATCATAGAAGCTGAAACCACCAGTGACATAGTGTATACCTATCGTATGCTCCTCGCGGCAACAGGTGTATCATATGAAATAAAATTGAAGCACATGAAAGCTTTTTCGTTTAAACAACACCTCACAGAGCCATAAACTACAAGGTCTTGGCTGTTATTATGACACTTTATTATGACAGTCTTGAGTGATGCAACATTGAACCTCAGATCGGTAATGGTTTGAAAACGGACAATTAACACAAACGGTACAGATCAGTATCTTTGTTGACATTGACGAAGGAAATAATGATTTGAATAACAACAAACGGCGGTATTTCAAGAACGGTAAGAAATATTCACACCTAAACAAAAACAACGAGAACACACGCGCTCCATCAAATGAGTTCAGCTTATTTCAAACACGGAATAGAGCAGGATCTTATACCTGTTGTTATTAACTGCTTTCACACCTGTCACATACCAATCATGCCCCCCTCAAATGGATCTGAATAAGATGAAAAGGGATCTGTTTGCAAGGCTACAGTCTCATCCGCGTAGCGGTGATATAGAAAGAAATATGCCTTTGAGAGGCATTTCGAAGTGATACACATAAGGAGGAGAATTTGCTGATGTCAACCTCTTTATTATGAGGAACACAACGTTTTGGAGTATATTCTTACTCCTTTATCGGGTGAATGAATGCTATGAGGCAGAGAGAATATATATGTTTTGTTTGTTTGTTTGTTGTTTAACGCCGCCCTCCGCGATATTGCAGCTATATGACGGTCTGTAAATAATCGAGTCTGGATCAGACAATCCAATGCTTGACATCATGAGCATCGATCCACGCAATTTGGATACGATGACATGCATCAACCAAGTCAGCGATCCTGACCACCCGACCCTCTTACCCAGCAAACAATTCTACGTTGTGACAACGTTGTGACAACGTTGACTTTTCGTTGCTACAACGTTGTGATGTAACGTTGTCACAAGGTCAATCTGTAGACTCCCAGATTGGTTGCTACAACGTTGTGCGTAAACCAAAATACAACCAAATCAAGACGTTGTCACAACATCCATTTTTTACGTTGCTACAACGTTTATCCAAAACGTCGCGACAACGTAGGTATCGCATGCATATGGCGACACTACAGCCATTGCAGCACGTTGTTGCAATGTCCATGTAGATTAACGCCTGTCTTATTCCTCAATACCTCCCAGGCAGCCTGAAAAGTTTGTACCAATCTAGTTAAGACATCAGGTACCAAGTACCAAGCAATACATTCTGCAAACTGAATTCACTTTAACCCTATCCATGAAACAGCAAGTCAATGAAATGCACTCTCGTTTGGCAGAGTTTGAAATACGGCCAAGATAAAAATCTAAATGTTTTAAATTACATGTACAATTTGGTTTTATAATATTTATTTTCCCAAACAGTTTTCAAGGCTATGTGCAAATTTTTCACAAATGTTTCAACACAATTAAAAGATATTTGATTTTCCCACGAATTTGCAAATTAAAAACCATCAAACAATAAGCCCTGCACAAATTGAAACATTTATATTTTCTTGGCCTTACCCCATACATTCAGCATTGAGAGCAACACTGTGACACACAGAATAGTCTATGCATCTGATGTCCTAAGATCCATTTCCCAGCAACGAAATGACAATAGAATTCTGGTTGAGGTGACCTTTATTTATTTATTAAATGACAAGTCAGAACTTGGGCTGAGTGGCTGAGGAGCCTTTTCAATCCTCAAATGAAAAGTCACAGGGATGATCTTCAACTGTATCCATAGTCTCTCCTTAAGCCTTGGTAACTGAATAAAAAATGACACAAATGTTATAAAATGGCAAGGCAAGGGACATATTTCTGACATAACAAAATAATGGTTGCATTTCCCAAAATAATATTTTGATGTCTGATTTCAGTCTTTAAACAGTTAAAAACTGCTGAAAGTGCGAAGAAGGCGCTGACAGTAATACCATGATGCTCTTGGATCATACATAGGCAGAAAAGCTTTTAGCACTGAATCATTGGTGTAACTTTATACCCCCGCCCTTTTAGATTGTGGGTATAATTACATAAGAATCATCTAAATTTTAATTCTTGAAGATGTTTGTATATATTATTGCATCATACATACCTTTCTGTCAGTGATGTACTTTAAACAAATATGCTCCCACAATACTGTTTTCTCCACCTGAAAGAAAAACAGAAACCACAAAGTATCACATTTTTAAATAAACCAG